TATCTATCTATCTATCTATCTATCTATCTATCTATCTATCTATCTATATATGTATATATATATATTTTTTTTCTGCTGTGTCCTCACCTCCAGCAGCGATTCTCTGCTCGAAACCCGCTGCTGTTCTTGTCCCCTCCGATCAGATAAACAAAGTTATTGAGCACGGCGACGCCCTGGTTGGACATGCGGGGGGCGTGTGCGGCGCTGAGCGTCCTCCACTCCCCCCAGCTGGGGTGGAACACCTGAAAGAGGTGCGCGATGTCTCCCCCGGAGCTGGAGCTGAACATGCCCCCGAAGCCCAGGACGCAGTGGAAGGTGGAGCGCGGCTGCGTGAGCGCGCTCTGCAGCACGGGCTGCCACAGCTCCTGCTCATGGTACTGCAGGGCCGACCACACCGAGTCCTGCAGCGGGCAGGGCTTCAGCCTGCCGTGCAGCCGCTGCAGCACTTGCTTCTCGATCAGACAGAAGCGCACGGCGTCGATCATCTTCAGCTTGTCCTTTGGGTCAGAGAGATATAGGCGGACATTCAGCGACACGGAGGCGGGATTCGCGATGGAAAAACGTGCGAGGAATAAAACGAAGACGCACCTTTGAACTGACCTGCAAGTACACCTGGTCAGTTTCTACCTCCTCCGGACTGTAGTGGTAGTGGAGGGCGGCCTCGTACACCTCGTTCTCGCTGCTCACCTGCAGCTGGTCGCTGCTCAGGGCCCTGAACACCTCGTCCTGCGGGAGCTGCCGGTACTCGTCGGCCCGGGACAAAGTCTGAATGTTCTGGAGGATGTAGAAGTGGATCCTGTCTTTGAGCTGCTGCAGTCCGTAGAGGTCGGCGAGGTGATGCACCTCCAGAATGTTGCTCTCGTCCATCCAGGAGTACAGGAAGTCACAGCAGAAGCTGATGACGTTTTCAAGCTTTAAAAAAAACAAAAAAACACCAGAGGACAAAGTTTAGTGACCAGGAACAAATAGGGGAAAAACAGCAAATTATGAAGAACAGTCTACCTGGACCAGCGTGGCAGCTATCAGGACCTCATGGACACATTCCAGGTCCAGCTCCAACTCTGAAGTGTAGATGAAGTCAAGTATTTTTTTCATGGCCACATACGACACGCCGTGAATTGGAATCTCCTTTTGCTGCATCTCCCGGAGACCCCCAGCAAACATTCCCCTGGTGGAGAGGGTGGAAGGAGGGTTCAGCCACAGCAGGTTAAATCCAGCCTCTCATGCTGCAAACCCTCTATTCTTCTCCACCTAATCTTTATTGATGACTAGTCTTAACTGAGAAGCTTTTTAATCCATGCTGTCCAGTTGTTCTATCGTTATCTGATGAAGAAAAGTAAATAGCCAATGCTGAAGAACTCGGGACTTTTGCTAAACTGACAACATGGTCTTATTATAGGGACTGACGTGTGCTTTTAACCGCTCCCAGCAACCCTATTTTCAACTACCAACTTACTTTGACACTTGTTGCTTTCAAAAGTCAAAGCGAAAAGGTTTAAAAATTCAGAGATTAACCATTAATCGGGCCGCTATTGTTTTTCGAGCCACAAAAAAAGGCTTCAGGACAAAAAGTGCCTCTGCTGGAGTTTGGGAGGGAAGTAGAGCCAAAATTACAGCACAATTTCCAAATCACAGGCTCTGAGGACACCGCTGAGGGACTGCTTACATTCTGATACAGCGAACAGGTTTAAACCAGCATGACCACTTTAACCGCACCTCAGGACACAAAGAAACGCCATTCCTGTGCGTTCATCATGTGACAATGTCAATAAGCAGCGACAGGATGCGCAACAAGAGACGCTCAGTTTTAAATAGGGCTCTCCACCAAGCCTGGACTCTGTCTTGTGACAATGAGCTGCAGAGGCTTGAATGACGCCTGATAGGAATACTTTCCTGCATGTTTGAAGGGTGAAGGGAAAAAAAAAAAAAGAAATTACGTCATGTGAGGCTGTTTATGCAGAGATTCTAAAAAACCAGGGTAGAAAATGGAGCATTCTGACTTAGATTAGGAGCATGATAAGCATGTTAAGTTCCCCCACATCTAGATAACAAGCCCTGGCTGTAATCTTGTAAGCATGTCTGAGGACAGGACACACAGAGTCATGCAGGGTTTTTAGTGGAACGCACACCAAAAAGCCAAAGCAAAAGTAAAAAAGCAACCCCGGGCTATTGTTGTTTGTAGTTTTCACCTGAAGTAATCACAGCAGGCTGCCAGAAGTATGCGGTGGGCTTGGATGGGTCGCCCCTCGACCACAAGCACCACGTCGAACAGGACGTCGCTGTCCCGGAGGCTGAGCAGGCCGTCCAGCAGGCGTCCGGTATGGTCAGAACATTTGAAGAGACGGCGGCCCGGACCCCCCGACGAGCCCGCCCGTCCGGCCGCCGGACTCAGAGCACCGTCCTCGGCCACGGCAAGGCGGCGACGTTCGGGTTTCATGGCTTCATCCGTCCGGCAACCGATACAAAAAAAAAAAAAACGGCTGAGAAGCTAGCTACCGAGGAGGGCTCCTCCTCACCGTTTCATCTGTCCGAGCGGGGTCAGGGGAACGCTGCAGATTTGACAGGTCACACACACGCCAATTTATTCCTCGTAACCCTCTGTGACAGACAAGGGCATCGTAATTCCTACCGTCAAACTGCTTTCTGGGTGTCACTCCGCCGCTAGCCCGTCAGCCAGTCTCATGTTGTTTGTTATGCAAGCTAAAAGCTGGTTAGCCTGCTAGCACATGAAACGCAACGCAGAAAGAGCGAAGAGGAAACTTCCAAACTGAAACTCGGTGCTAGCACGGAGGTATGACTCAGTTCCCTGATATAAACCTGTTTTAATCGACACCACACGCACGGTAACAACCAAACTATTTCTCAAAGTTCGGTTAGCCGAGCCTCTTGATTTTTGACAGATCAAAACAACTGTGTTTACTTTTTGTAGTCAGGCAGGAGCTCAAACTCTATTGGTCCGTGCTGTCTGTTCACTCCGCCCACTTTCTAAATACTAACCAATTATAATCGTGCTCTTTATTTTGAGGAAATTATACGGAAGCGCTGTTACACATTCTAAGGGAATCTGTACGAACTTTGTAGCTGGCCATGTTTTGTCATTTGTTTTGTTTTATTTGGCTTTTTACTTGGCTGGAGTTAGTCTTTCAGTGACGTTTCTTTATTGTGACTCTATCTGCTCAACACAAGAGGGTGCTACATGGTCAAATATCTGTGGGTGGCGATACTGGTCATGTAAATACACCAGCGCAAGAGAAAAAAGGCCCTTTTCTTGTATTTACATGCGGGTTTATTATGGTCTGTCATTAGTATTCAGTGCTGCAGTTTGATAGACAGAAACAAACTTGTCCCATCTACATTTATTTGAATATCTTTTAGAAAGATTACTTCATAAAGTAACAAAACAACATCAAATCACAATGATGTGGCTGGTCCAGAGTCTTCCCCCCAGTTATTTTAAATGATCCACATCTGATATTTTTTGTATGTATGTATTCCATCACCCCACCCCTTATTTGGAATTTGGACTCCATCTAAATAAATGCTTTCCAGATTGATTTTCCACAGTTTCATAACATCATCAACTTCCAGACAGATATGGAGTCATTATGCTTTCTTCTTTATAAATATATAAAGGACTGTGCCTTGCATGTCTGTGCAGTTTTGCAGTCTCATTCATCTTCTGTCAAGGCCTCAATTTGCATACATCTTTTTCTGAAATGCAGAGATGACTTTTTTTCCACTTGCAAAAACACTGATATAATAATCCATTACTTGATCCATTTTCCAGTCCAATATACATGAGTCGAGTGCTCTGGAGGCTTTTTGTATTGAGTGCGAAAATATTTTCTGCACTCAAGTATAAAATATGATGAAAAATGAGGTGTAATTATTTCAGTTTGGATCTATTGTGATGAAAAACAGGGTTATACTTTGTACTTTTTTTTTGTTGCTGGTCATATCTTACCAACAGATTTAGCTGCTTTTTATACAGAGCTTACAGACAACAATTTTATTGTCAACATCAAATTCAAATTCAATTCTGTGTGGTTTTTATGTGGCCCTGCTGGTGAGAAAAGGTTGGTTTTGCTACTATGGATGGTATAACATTCCAGTGCAATAGCTGAGCTTTTCCTTTCATCGGGAGCTTTGCAGAGAGCAAACCGGAGAAATTACAACAAAGGTGGAAGCCATTACACGATTAACTGTCAAATTACACCGAACACAAAAACCTAAAACACGGGACAGCGGCGGCACACGGATTAGTCCAGTCAGTGACCTTGAGATGTTAAACAAATGATACGCACAGAGTCTTCACCCAAATAATTGCACATAGTCCAAAGCATGGCTTCTGTTAGCTACTTTTGATAAGACCCAAGGACAATACAGCTGATTAGTTTGGGATCGCAGAGCACCAGTGGTGGTGACAGTGATTTGGCTGACTCCCTTCTCTTTTTCTGGCAGAGAAAATGTGTCTGGCAAAATGCAGCAGATACACATGCAGAAAGAGAATTCAGTCCTTCTCACGTGCACATTAGTTGACAATATGCTCTGGCAGCCATTCTGATGGAAAAGCTATCAGCATTGCATTATTTACCATAAATGATGTGTGAACTCAGGAGCAGAAGAGAGAGAAAATCTGCTGACGGCATGAAAAATGCGAGTCAAAAATCAAAACTGGACAGCTGGTAATGAGCAGGCGCAGTGTGGCTGAGGCTGCCTCTGCTGTGCTTTACACACTACCTGTGTTGTGATCCATAAGTTAAGAGTCGTTGTAAAGTGACTCGCGGTGGGTGTGGCCGGGGCCGCTTTCAATTTATTTCTGAGGCAGAGCAATCAATTCTCCTCTCAACTACAGTCCTGTAACACAACAAGTTCCAGTGCTGCTGTTTAATGAAGCCTGCCGACAGCTTTAATATAGCACCCACGAGGTGATTCATGGCTCTCCCTAAATAATTAGCAGTGTGGGGTCTTTTACACTGCCATGAGACAGATCCGCCTCAGCGTTTGCTCTTCATGAATCATTTTTTGTTTGAATTTACACTTGATCACCACAGTGTATTTTCTGCTCCATGCAAATCATTGTCTGTATTTAGCAAATAATCATGGCCATTAAAATTAGACTGAAATGCATTGACAGTTATTGTTCAAATAATGATAGCTCTAAGTCAGCCCAAAGCAATATCTCTTTCTCCACTGAAGTCAGAGTCTTCTTTGAAGGAGGCTGAGAGTTTTCAATCTTGTCTGGGAGGTGGAGCAAACAAACCTATGCTGCTGAAATATTTAAAGCTCCCCATATTAAGGAGAGCTTTAGAGGGTAGATGAAGTGTTTAGTGAGCGTTGGTATTGAGGGGGAAACACTGGGGGGAAATTTGGTTTTAGAAGCTGCTCGTTCAATAATTGAAAAAAAAAATTAGCCGGGTGGTAGCCTCATAGGCAGGCAGGCTGAGGGTGGATCATCCCTTTTCACACATGGCCCACACGCGTCAGGAAGCTGGGCAAGTCCCAGAGGAAGGTATTATACAAGACAGCAAGCAGGGACATGATGGCACCGGATAGCTCGGCTAGACACTGCCTTGACAGCAGAGCTCTGAGGGGAGGTTTGTTCTATGTCACAAGCGTTTTACTTTTGCCGCAATGGGAATGATTTCATTATCTTTTTAACTCTGAGATGGTCCAAGTGTGTTAGGTAGTCATAGACACTGCCGTCCTCTCTAACGTTCATAAAGAGGCTAAGGGAAATGGGGCTGAGGGTGGATAAAATTTTAATTGGCATAAGATAAACTGGGGTCATGTGTATCGAATCTTAATGTACCAGAACTCATTTTGAACAAGTCGTCTGGGGATTCTTCTAACATGTTCTGCTATCACTCAATTCAGTTCTCACCTCTTGATGTTTTAATATTTATGGCATGAGCCATTTGTGACATGTGATGGCTTTCATCCTGTGTGCATGCTAGTTGTCAGTTTTGAGTCACGGAGCTGAAAAAGCAACTAAAGACTACGGCACACCGATGTGTTTGAACTAACCAAAATGCTTCGGTGGCTTGAAAAAGCAGGAAAAACATGCCAAACACTGAAATAAATGAAGGGAGAAGAGAGATTATTTCTACCTTTCAATCTGCTCTTGTATTGCTCTTGTATAAACTCCACTGTCTGACTTTTTTCCCCTCTTATTTAGTCCATTTCACTGACTTCATAAATTCCTTTTAATTAAAAGATACCTTAAAAAATATTTGAAGAGGCACTTTATATTGTTATAACCTCAAACTCTGCTTTTTTATGTGCTGGTGGCTGATGAAGCAAAGAGAAACTAAATTCAACGCTTGCTTCAAAGGAGGGGCGAAAAAACAAATTTCATCGACCTCCTACAGGGAATTTCCAGCCTGCTACTGAGTGAAATCATCTAGTGGATCACCGACAGACAATAGAGAATATTGCATAACAGGATAACAGGAACTTCATCTTAAAAGGAACATTTCATTTTGCCAGCCACTGCTGTCAAATGGTTTGCTTTGAAGTAGTTTGGCTTAGACTTTAGTTTAAAATAGTTTCAAATGATGCCAAGAACCAGGATAAATAAGATGGATTCACATACAAACGCAATTATTGAACATGTTGCCACCACTGAGATCTTTTGCAAAAAAATACATTTTTGCACACCATAGTTTTAAGAACCTCATGGAGTCCAACCACCCATTTGGTTCATCTAATAAATCAAAAGGGGCTATTGGAAGTTTTAAGATGATATATTTTTCATTAAAGACTTGCAATAAATTTGGGACTTGAAAATAGAAAAGGCTCTCCAACAAGGAGCTTGGAAAATAAAGCACAAACATTGTCTGGAAGTACCGATGGGCAGAGGTCAAACTGTGTCAGCACATTTTAAATTCAGCAGTCAACAACTGTAAAGATATCTTGTAAAGATGCAGAGACTGAAAATCAATATCAGGTCCCCGTCTTCCTCAGACAGCACTGCATATCCATCTGACATCTTTCTATAATGGGAATCCCTGCTACAGACAGCGACACTTGTTATTGCTGTTTACAGTGACATTTCAAACCTGGTGGAGATTATATCATGCGAAGAAAGCATTTGTGGACGAGATCTGAAAACACTGCTTTCTTCTTGAGGATAGCATTTATATAAAACGTAATAAGGTATGATTGAAAACTGTTCTGTGATCAGCCAAAGTTATCCATCCGTTGTTTTTTTTGTTTTTTTAAGCCAGTTAGGGGCGATGCGGGGCTGGAGCCGATCCCAGTCACCATTAGGTGAGATAAGACGCACATCCTGGACAGATCACCAGTCACCAGCAAAATTAAAACATGAAATTCTTTTAGGACATCATTATGTTGAGTTAAAAAATTAGCATCAGTCACGATGACTGATTAGATGTGGGGAGGATCCAGGTGTAAGGAACAAGTAAATGGGGGGGAACAAAATAACTTTTATTTACGGGATAACAAAAAAAAAAGCAACAATTGCTGGATAAAGACTAAACCTAAAGTTGGGAGAGAAAAACAGGTGGACAAAATCAAGCAAGAGATTTGAAACGACAGGAGAGTTAATTTTCAAAATAAAACGGGAAATGACGAGACTGAGACATGACAAAACAAAACCAAAAACATCCAGGCATGACAGCATCTTTGGTCATATTGGAGTGCTTTGGTCCAGGGACAGCGTTGAGCAAACTGACCTTCGTGCAGTCTAGACCTCTCATCAAGGAAAAGTGTTTGGCGCTTTGTGAAATCACTGCGTGAGCTCAGAAAAAACAGAAGTGTTGAGCAGTGACAATCCTTTTTCAGTCAAGAAATGACACAACATCCCTCTTGCAAAGGTCCAGTGCCCGTTTTCCTCTGTTCCCAGACATTTTAGCAACTGTTGTGGGAGGCTGCACAGTGTTAACTCAACAGTCCCGAGGATTTTGATGTAGCAGACAGTTTACCGTGAGGCATTTCATTTGCATTTTTTACATCAGCTTCTTTCTTATTTTGCACTGAAAAGGGTATAGTATAATAAAGTATAATAAAGATATAACCCTGCTGTGTTTACTCATTTTAGAAATCTGCTCTCAACTCTGCCGGTTTGCCACAGAAAATAAGAAACAGCCTTTTCGAAACAACGTTTGCATAAAAATGTTGATTCCCGCCTGACTGAACGTCACAGTGTTCTGTGATTTAAAAAGGCCCCGTTTTTTTCCACCTTCTTATATTCACGTGGATCGGCTGCTACCAAAAGTCACATTTTAGGAGAGGAGCATCAGGGTGAGCCTTGCGTCAGATTAGATCTGTACAACTGAAGGTTGTTTGTCATCCTGCGCTACCTGAGGCATTGTGGCATTTGTTCTTGGCCGGGGTTATTTAAAGCCTTGGGGGGTTTATAGAACTATGTTGCTGCGATGGTGTCAAGGATCACTTCAACTCGGTTCATGTAAGAGGCTGTTATACTGCAGGGGAGATTGTGTCACAGTTCAAAGCACGACACCAAAAACAGGCTGACAAGATTTATTTGCGGTTTACTCGAGGTTAGAAGACTAAAGGCACTCAAATGGGATAAAATGAGCAAGCAAAAAAAAAAAAGGGCATCACACACAAACAGACATAGAAAGAGGATGTGTGGATGCAGGTTAATAAGGCTGGAGCCCAGCTGCAACATTGCTGAACTGATGGACGTTAAGTCAAGAAAGCAATATGGGTTTTTATTTTTGTTTAATTAGTTTTTAAGAGCCACTGCATTACATTGTGGGGGGCTGCACAGAGTTACTCAGAAGGAGGTCAAGAGACGAGCTCAGAAAAGTCATGGCGGTCTGAGCAGAACCACTTTCAAGGTGCCTCACTTTGGGGTCCTTTGTCCACATGTTGTGCTGAACCGTGGCAGGTAACAGGGGCCAGAACTTGTGAACCCACTCTGGCTGTTTCTGTCCAGATGTGATCCATTGTCAGTGAAATTAAACCCTCACCTGGTTCCAACTTCACCTGAAAACAGGTGAGTTTCTGGGTGGGAAACAGGGCAGAAGAAGCTCGGCTCGTCCTGGTCCTTCACTCCCTGCGTTTGCTTTTGTGAAACCATGAGTCAGTGTGATCAAATGCATGTTTGATTTGAGCCCCTCCCCCATAGAATTGTTCTCTGTATTCTTCGAAGTCCTTATAGACATGGCGGTGAAAACGATCGAAGATTCAAATTGAACTAAGAGCTCAGAATGCATTTACAGTGTCCGACTTGTTCTCTTGCATTTTCCACTACATTTGTGTCTCCTCCAGTTCCATGAAATGAGAAACAGCTATTCAAGATTCAGTGTGAATTTGTCTTCTTTAAACTATCACATCGATTGCTTGGTGCTATCTTTGCTGTTGAAGTGGGAGGTGTTATTTAAGGAGCTGTTTGATCTAACCCCTTTTTGGTTAAAGATGATCCACGAAAAAGCTCCACATTCTTTTAAACTGGCTTGAGAGCCAGAGCACGGCCACGCCATCAGTTAAATGTCGTCTTGAACAATTTGAACCTGTGCTGTGAAGGCCTTTGGTTCCTTTTCACTAGTCCAGCCGCTCTGTTTCAAACTGCAGCTGCCACATGAAATGCTGGCCAGAGCTGGGAAAGGGACCCAAACATGGTGTTTTTAAATGAAATCTGTGAAAACATGAAGTTCTCAGCCTGAAATGGTCAAGGCTAACCATATTTGCCTGTTGCCATGGATACCTGTACAATTTAATTACAACGAAAAGCAGATCACCATCTGGTCAGCTGCAGAAAATAACCACTTGATTTGAGTTAGAAAGTAAAACTACTTGAGCTGAATTAGATCAAAGTAAAGACACAAAACGTGGTTTTAAAAGAATTATCACGAGTGGCATTTTTTCTCCAACACCAAGGTCTTGCTTGGGAGTATTGTTTGGATTTCTCCTATTATTTCGGATTAACTGTCCGTCAAGAAATATAATCTTTGGGCAGTGAAGATTTCTTCCGTACTGCCATTTCAGTCAACAATGAGTTTCCACTCATGTTGACCTGCCGACCTTTTTTACGTCACCTTAAGCACTTACTTTCTATCCTTTTTTATGACATGAAAACCTACTGATAGTTGTCGGGGTGGGAAGAGAGCGAGAAGCTGGAGAGGATTAGACAGGGAGGTAAATGCTCAAGGCTGTGGAGCATTTATATAAAATGTTAAAAACGAGTTATTGCTGCTGTTTAATTTCAGTTTAATTAATTTTTTGACAAACCACACATTTCTTGAGGATGTGCTCAGGTAAATCGTCTCTGCTTTCTGGTACTAACTCAACATAGATAAAATGTTCACTTGTCCTGTTACTGAAAAAAATAAAATCATGGTCGTCACCCATTCAGAGGATGTAGAAATGAAAAATAAACAGACAGCCTGAGCAGCTTTTGGCCTGTTTTATTGTGGATCTCCTTGCTTATGTTTGCACATCAGAGATAGACAGTTGGTGCATGGTGTCCTTTGTTGTGTTCCCCACCTGTTGACCGCCACCGGCTGAGAAAGACCATGTATCCTCTACCACCCCAAAAATGTTCTGTTGGAATAACAAAAATAGTACAGGTGCTGTTCTGAGTCTTATAGAAGAGTGTATTTGGGCTAAGTGATGTGCAGCCATGCAAAATGTTTGCACGAAACACCATTCCCACAACCCCATGAGGGACTGTAAATCTCTTTGATGGGTTTATACTGACATCATGGCTGAGCTGTAAACAGGCAGACCTCCAACCCCAGTTCATAATTACATGGTCACCAACGATGTATTTTACAATTTACAGTATATTGCTTCTGTTACGGTGTCTTTGCAATGTTTTGAAAAGCAATTACCTTCGAGGACAACCCCTAATTTTCAGTTTCACTGTTTTATTAAGCTTCAATAATAAACTATTAGCCATGGGTAACATTTCGAGCCTGGATGCACATTTTCCCAAAGCACCAGAACACTTTTATCAAAATACAAGCTCATTTTAAATGTGTCCCCTAAATGTTTATCAGTTTTTATTATAAGTGGTGCAATGCTCTTATGTTGTTTCTTTCCTCCTTTCTCTCTCTCTTTCTTCATTTTACTTTCTTGCTTTCTCTCTCTCTTTCCTATTTGTTCTATTCTCTCTCTTTTTTTTTCTTTCTGTCCTCCTTTGTGATAAAACTGATAAAAAGCTAAACTGCACAGCGAGGGATTTTAAAAATTCCATTAAAATGAGATATTCCGTCAACACAAATGAATCAACAACAGCCGCTCTCGCTCCCCAGTCAGTATTAAATTCTGAATATGGAGAGCGCCAGTGAGGGGACAATTTGTTGTTAATGGGGCAGAGTACTTTATTGATTTACATTGCCACTCAAACTAAAACTTATTAACAATATTCCCAGTAGAAATGCTTGTATAAATGCCTTACATAACACAAGACTCTCTCTGAATCCAAATATGGCCATACTGAATCGGGTTCTTTTTATATTGTATAAAGGTGGGAGAGGGACACAAAACATTAGATAGCAGGTACACGGAAAAACAAGTGATCAGAGGGAGAACAAATGTTTCAGTTAACAGCCAGATACTATTTTTTTTAAATGTTTGGCACATGTTATCTGTTCTTGCCCTCCCTTATCGTTCAACATGGAAGAAACCACATCTGTTCTCTGTTTGTTTATACGCTCTATGACTGAAATGTTGGCTTTGGAGACAGAAAGCATTCGCCTCGCCGGGACTGTACAAACCTCACGTTGCACTAAATCTAGCTTCCACGTTTCTTAATCGCATCACAGAGATGGACCAGCTGTCAAACGGGCAATTTCATGTCATAATTATGTCCAGTTGTCTTGACATGTTAGAAATGTTTCCCACCCTCCCTCCATCAAACCAACACCAGATCAAAAGAAAAATCAAGACGTGACAGACAGCCCCATTGATTTCTAAAGGGAACTGGCCTTGTATAGCATTCTCTCTCCATCTATCAATCACTAAAATCCAGCCTATCCAGCTGTTTCTATCTAACTATAATTTGCATTAATCTTTTACTCGGAGAATTATCTGCATAGCCTGGTCTTCTTGAGTGATTTGACACCTGCGTCTCGGTGTCAAGTAAACACCCACAGAGCTGTTGTTGGTGGTGGTAAGTCATTTCGGCATTCGCCTCTCAGACAAACAGCTATTACTGTTCTCTCCAACAGCCTCAGCTTGAAGCAGGGGAGTGTGTGGGGACAGTGTGAAAAAAGCAGTTAACAATCTGTTGTACGAGCAAAGGAGGTGCGAGAAACGGGTTGAAAATAGTCCTGGGTGCCGGCAGCACAGGGATTCAGCGTGGCCTTAAGTCATGATGATGCTCGTCCAGTCTGGATGTAAGAGAACATGCAAAAGAGCTGGTCCAGGACACAGATAACACTGGATATTTGTCAAGATTCATGATCTTTATAAAAGGATCAGGATGCTTGTTTATGGCACAGCTAGACCTCTTCCTTTGATAAAGATCGATTTATTTGGGAGGCACTGTGAAAAAGATGGGTCAGTGTCTCTTATCAGCATCATTTATGACCAAGCAGACTACAGTCAATCCAGAAATTTGACCCCCTAAATATAGTTTTATTCTGGATAATTTCCCATGTGGCAAAGGAATGGCTGTGTTTCCCCAGCAAGTTACAACAAATACATTTGAAAAAATATCCTAAAGTATTTCAATCACTGCAGTACAATCATATCTTACACAAATAACTCGGACCCTATAACAGCTTCTGGGATTTTGAGTTGACCCCAGCACGTAAAGTCTCAGCACGCTCCTCAGATGAATCATCTAATGTCCTCGCTAATGTATTTCTGAGCTCGAGGTGGGTGAAGCAGACCATGCTCAGCCTACACATTGCAAATAACTCAATTTCCCCGTCTGCGCCCCTGTTTTTGCGCGCGCCTCCGTCCGCGTGTGCGCGAAGAAGTTATTACGTAAGATGTTCCCAATCACATCCTTCCCGGAGTCTACAGCATGAGGTGGCTTTAAGAGGTATCTCGGCTCCTGTGCAGGCAGGACACCTCCTACCTTTTTCCCCTCGAACAAAAGACAGCCGCGTCTCACCTGACGAAGCAGCGCCGCAAGTCTCAGAAGAAAGGATATTTGGGGAAGAAACGACTGCTAATTTGAAGGGTAATTATGATCACGCGTGTCATTCTTGCATATAACTCGGTGATCGGTGATGTGGGCTATATTTGAGTATTTAATTTTCCCTCTATGATCAGCTTGGCTATTTCCTCTTTTTGATAAGCCCTAAAAAAGCTCCAGTGACTCGGATAAGTAATAAAGCGAGTTTTATTACAGTACTACGGAATGCGCAAAAGTCTAAAGTGTTTTGATTGGACCTATTGTTTTCCATTTGTATTTCCACTCTGCGTGTTTGGTGTTCCCCACAGCAAACGCTAAAAGTGTAAGAAGCGCTGTTTTTGAGAGGCTATTCGTCAGGCTTTTGGGGTGGGAATCATGTTTGACTTCAGAGCAGATAGCTCACAAAAGTCTACTGGATGTTAAATCGGGTCCACCTCAGTCAGTGCGAGCCCATGTTTGGATTCAGGGCTGCAAAAGATGCACAAAGAGCAGCCCATTTTACTATTTGCATGATCTCTGATCATTATTCTGTCTGGATGATGTCTCAAGTGGGTTAAAGACGTGAATGAAGACAAATGAAAAACAAAATCTGAACCACTTCTTTTTTTAGACAGCAATGCATCACTTTGTGTGTACAAAGTGTCCAAATTCTTCCATAAATAATCAGTATCAAGGCTGCAGGAAATGTGAGCTCCATAATAAGAAACTCAGTCAGGTTGTGGGAGGGTAGATTGTGTTTCACACAGAAATTAAAGTGGTGCTTGAAGTTCTTTGCCTGAGTATGACTTTTGTTGCGAAAATTCATTTATCATAGTTAAGGAGTTCTCCATTAAAAATGATAAATCACAGATATCCTGCAGATGTAATTCGGCTTGCAGAGCTGTGTTGCAAAACTAATTTCTGGGGAGTTGAGCCGTGGGCCAAACAGATCAGTTAATCAGCGCTGTGTGCACGCATTAGGCGAAGTGCACACCGAAATGGACACACTATTTAGATATTCTTGGCTTTGGTGTAATGAAATTGCATTTCTATAATGTTTTCTGGCTCATTAATTTGTACGGTTGGAGCTCATGAGGACCTCATGCGCTGTTGAGGCTGGAAAGCTGCTGTGACTGTTTAGTGACAATAAAAGGTTTCGTTTAAGGACCGGAGTGGAATACACTCTCACCGTCAAAATGGAAGAAAACACTTAGGGGAGACGATTGTCTCGGAAAGAGCAGTCATCATCTCTGTTATTGTGATGGAAATTCAAATCAGCAGGTTATTACGGCGGCCGCGCAGAGCCTGGATCTGGGCTGTTTTTGTGATGATCTTCCATCGGTGCGTCGGTTATGCTTTTAGCCCGCGCTCCAGGAGAAGCACAATCTGTGTTCCGCTCACACACAAACACACACACACACACATCTGCAGACGCGCATTCGTCGGCCTCCTCTGGTATTTCTGTTTTTGTAGAATCACATTCGAACTCGCCCATCGACATCCAAAAAAAAGTGCTGCAACTTTAACGTGCTGTCCTGCGGCGCCTCGATCGGCTCTAACCAAAGGTCAAATTTGAATGATGAAATATGCTCGCAGCAATTCAGGCTCACTTTGTTTTTCAGTTTTCATTTCGCTTAAAAAAGAACTAACCCTCTCTTCCCCAGTTTTAAACCTTAAGAAATAGACTTCAAAGGGGATAAAAACAAAGACTTGTCTTTATTTTTCAGACTACAAATGAAGACGACCGTACCGAGAGCCAGACATTGAGGACCGGGCCAGACTCTGAAACGTGCCATGTGTTGCCCATGAGGAAGTCCCAGGAGCTTTGACCGACTTGATTCATTCTCCAGCCCCACGAAAGTTGCCATGGAACTGCAGCACAGCGCCAATCACGACCAAGCGAGCGGTCCTCAGTGGGACTCCACTGAGGACTGCTCGCTCTCCGTCAGTGGGACCACTTTCCTGATAATTGCGTACAGCACGGTGATGGCGGTGGGCCTGGTGGGGAACTCCTGCCTGGTGTTCGTCATCACGCGGCACAAGGAGATGCACAATGTCACCAACATCCTCATCACCAACCTGTCCTGCTCGGACATTCTGATGTGCATCATATGCCTGCCAGTGACTATCATCTACACACTCATGGACCGCTGGATCCTTGGAGAAACTTTGTGTAAGCTCACGCCCTTCATCCAGTGCATATCGGTTAGCGTTTCCATGCTTTCTCTGGTCCTCATTGCCATGGAGCGATACCAGCTCATTGTCCACCCGACCGGATGGAAACCTCTGGTAAGGCACTCCTATGTGGCGGTTGCTGTCATCTGGATCGTGGCCTGCCTAATGTCCGTGCCTTTCCTCTCGTACAGCGTGCTCACCTTGCCTTTCCAGAACCTGAGTATCCCCGTCAGTGACAACCTTGTTTGTATGGAGATGTGGCCGTCCGTACAGCTTCGGCGGGCTTACACCACCTCCCTGCTGGTCTTCCAGTACCTCCTCCCCCTGGCCCTCATCGCCGTTTGCTACCTGCACGTCTACCTGCGCCTCAGGAGGCGGAAGGATATGGTGGAGCGTGGCAGGAACGCCACTCAGAAGAAGAACAAGAGCTCCACCAGGATCAACATCATGTTGGTCTCCATCGTGGTGGCAGTGGCCCTCTCGTGGTTCCCTCTGAATGTCTTCAACACCGTCTTTGACTGGGATCACAACGCGATCCCGCTTTGCGACCACAACATCATCTTCTCGTTCTGCCACCTCACGGCCATGGCCTCCACCTGCGTCAACCCCATCATCTACGGCTTCCTCAACAACAATTTCCAGAAGCAGCTGAAGTCCACCCTGTTGCAGTGCAGGTGCTGGGGGGCGGCCGAGCGCTACGAGAGCGTCCCGCTCTCCACCGTCAGCACCGAGATCACCAAGGGCTCAGTCTTAAGCAATGGATCCATCAGCATCAACACATAGATGGGCGTCTTGAGCAAGAGACAGAAAGTGGCCGGTGCCCCTCAACCATTATTGTGTCATAATTTGTAGATAACTTTTTTCGTTTATTCTAACCGAACAGCCGTGCAGGCAAAGCAAACTGGGGACACTTTATCCAGCTTTCACTCAGTTTTCTTTATCCATTATAAGTCCGCAAGTAAGAGGAAGTAGATAAGAAAAGGACTGCGCAAATGTCGGACACAGACAGGTTTTGTGGGAGGACCGAGGACTCCTTGCCGGGCTCATTTTCAGCCGTAGTCATGAGCTACGGGCACGTGCGGTGCAAAGGAAGAGATGCGTGTATCATGTTTTCTCTGTTCGGTTTCTCTGAGCCGAAATCATATTAAAATGAAAGAAACGAGTGTTTTCACAGGCTTGCCTAACCTGCAGTTGCCACTAGAGACTAAATAAAGGAGACCAACGCCACAACAAATTCTGCGTTCATCTTCACAGTTTTACACGGAGGGTATTGATGAAAATATTACGGGGCTGTGTACTGTGATGTGCTCATGATTATCAGCAGAGGAGTTTATTATGTAACAGAAGGAGAGAGTATTAGTTCAGCGAATGTGGCTTCGGGCGTTCATTCAGTCAATTGACTTGCATCATCGTAATGCTTTTTTTATTACCTAAAATCACCACTATCGGTGCAACGATCTCTTACAGAGAACCTTGGTAAGAGCTGTATACATCTCACGCTGTCAGCCAAGGTCTGAACTCTAGTATATATGTGTGTGTGTGTGTCATAAAATGTACCATGCAACAATCATATATCAGCTGCAATAAAGCAAATATAAAAGTGACAGCGAAGGACTCTGTCAGAGCAGGTCTGCTTTAGTGTGTATATCACATGACAGAATTATACTTTATGGAGTGGTAACGAGCACTTTGTAGCGTAGAATCTTATGGTAACCTGTTGTTAGTTACTCTGTGGAACTGCATTAAATATTAATTTACTTCAACAATAATGCATGTGTTGTAATATTTTGGATTTCTCTCTTGGATCTTCGGCTCTAAACGTCGTCATTTTGGGGCCTGAGTGGAAAAGCTATTTCCCCGAGCTGCTCAGAAAACGTTTATCAGAAAATTGCACGAGAAAAAGAAACTAAAGAAGACACGCTTCACAGGTTCAATAAATTCCTCACACCACTTTTAGATCAGAAAATATTCCTGGCCTTATAACCAAATTCTTTTGTTTATTTGTGTTTTGAGCAGCTTTTGTTGAATTTTTTATTTCTTAAAATATTTATTCACAGCCAATGCTGCCGTGATTTTGACCAGGAAAACACACACGCAAGCACACACACACACACACACACAAACAACCGCGGTTGCTGACTAGAATTACAAGTACAAAAGTTTCTTTTTGCTTCCAGACTTTGCTTCTAGAAAGCATAAACATTTGAAAGCATTCAAATGAGGACTGGCTATGTGGTCAGACACCACACCCTCCGAACAAATGTGTGTGTATTTCTGAGATAATTAAAATGATAAAATGATCAAATATGCAAAAAAATATATGCACAACTCCAATTCCAAAAAGAGACACTGTAGACTAAGTTAAAAAAAACACGGAGTGCAATGGTTTGCAAAGGACCAATGTTTTATTAACAACAAAAGATAACAACGGTGCTACATGGTAACATGAGACAGTTTCCACTTTATGGAAAATATCTTCAATTTGTTGGCAGAAACATGTCTCAGAAGAGTCGGGACAGGGTCGTGTGTAGTGTACCTCTGTATAGCATTCCTCTCACTATTTAGTAGAAGTCTGGGAGCTGTTCCGTGACTTTTAGAGGAGGGATGTCGTCCCATTGTTGTCTGATAGACGATTCCAGCTTCTCAGCACTGCTGGTTTCCTATTTGTCGTAGTTGCCTTCAGTGTTTCCAGTTGATGAAAAGTCTGGACTACAGGGAGGCCTGTCCAGTACTTCTATGTTATTTATGCCAAGGCAACGTGGGGTCTGATATTGCGTTGCTGATTCATGCTGAGGCTTTCCAGAACATTGTCGCCTTCAATTCAGTTTTGGAGCTTTGACCTGCTTTCATGGGCAGGACAGGGAACTTTGGCCACATTTGGTTTTCATAAAACTTTGCAGTGATTTCTATGACCAATCCGGCCTGCTTTTTCATGCAGTGCTGTCGGGGAGCCTGAAGATCCCTGGCAACCAGTACCTTGTTCCTTTTGTGAAACCGTACCCAGATTCTCAGGATTTCCTGATGATAATATGTGCTGCTGATAATGACACATTCAAAGTATTTGCAGACTTCAAGTCTTCACAGACAGATGAACCCTTGCCCATCTTTGCTTCTGAGAGACTCTGCCTCTCATAGGTGCACTTCTTGAATTCCCAATCATGTTACAGACTTGTAACTAAGTAAGCAAAGAGGTTGGAACTTGTTCTTCCAGATGTTTCTTTCTGGCATATCTTACTTTTCCAGCCTTTTGCTGCCTCCTTAAGAAACTTCTTTGAAAAATGTTCGTACCATCAATTTAGAAAATCCTGAAGCTGAATAAATCACCCTTTTTTAGTATTTGATAAGTTTCTCTTGTTTTATTTTTAAAAGGATATTAGATAATGAGATTTGCAATTAATGGCAACAAATTTTACTTTAATTTTACACAGTAGCATAAATATTTTCAGAAACGGGATTGTGTACCCCTCAAAAGAAGCTATTAAATGTTCTGAATTGAGGGTTATTGAGCCTGAGTATTTATTCATAAACTACAGATCATCTGACTGACATGACACTGTTCGAGCTCACTTTTGACAGGAGTCTCACAAAGATCTTGTTCTTGCTATAAATATTTCAAAAATATTCCTGAGGTCAAACCCAGTGTGCTGCCTCTATGTGCATTATTTAAGGGATGTCTGAGATCACAACATTTTTAGACACGCTTGTATTGTTGAGTACATTCGTATTCTTTTCGGTGCAACTGATGTTGAACACGGCGAAGGAGGAAAATGCACGGAAGATAAACGTAAAAAGCCCATTAATATTCATAGTGGGAAACCCACTCCGGATGAACAAATGAGGAGGAAAGAGAAGGTAAGGATTGTGCTGTTTGTTACCTTTTAAGCTTTGATTGTATGTGAGGAGGTCAAGTGAATGTTATAGAAAGACAAATGTGTTTTTCTGCCAAGTTGCTTTCTTAAGGCATTCATGCCTGGAAGAGCTCTCTTAGGTCCTTGTCAGCGTAATTGACTGTGTACTTCCGCTGCTTTAGCTGGGGCTGACCTTTTCAGTCTGCCAATCCCCCCTGTTCCCTCATATTCCACTCCTCTTACCTGCCTTTCCTTTCAGAGAGCCACTAGGTGAAGTGGCGCAGCTTATTTTGTGCGGAATAAAGGACCAAGGATGCTGGAGGCGCTGACGTGCTCCAGTGGCACTTGGCAATGAGTGGAACTTAAATGGTGGCATTTCGCGTTGTTATCCCTCGTGGCCAGAGGAGGGGCACATTACCACTGCATGAAATGAAGCTCAGCGGGAGACAAACACTCACTGAGTCCACTGGGCCAGACTCTCCCCTTCGGAGGAGCGGATCCAGATAGATTACCATCTTGGCCCCCTGCATTTTAATTTTGAGAGTCTCATATACGCTATCGCTCCAGATCACAGGAACAACATGAGCTAGCCAGCCAGAGATTTTCTCAAGCTGTCACCACGATCATTTAAATTCTCCTCTGTGATCTTTGCCTGCAATCTGTTGAGAGAACGGGACATCGTTCATCCTTTTTAGCCTCTTCTCTCTATAATTAGTAATAGGGTTTTGGGTCTTACATTTCCAAGGTATGTGTCAAACTCAAACATGAAAATCAACGCAAAAATATTTTTTGTAGTAATGTACAAAATGGATTTGGACACCTTTGATCCCCGTGAGAACATGTTTGTCCTTTTTACAAAAGCAAATGAAAAGGTCACAGAGTCAGTCTACTGAGTCAAAAAAAGCCCTTATCTTTGTGTAATACATACAGTACTAACAGCTGTACAAGGTACTTACACAGCTAGATTGCTCATTTATGGGTCAAACACACATATCAGCTTAGTCAATATTTTGTTTCCCTCTTATCTGTGGGATGAATTGCCCTAATGGTTCCAGCTTGTATCAGATGCTTCCCCATTCATCAGACCTGGAAGCGAGAGTTTATTTCAGGTTATACTTTCAGTGTTTACCTACTGACTCTCTTGAAAAACATGGCAGCCTCCAAAGAAAATTTTCCCAGATTTATGTAGATTTTAAATAAATGTTGAAGAACAGGGTTGCAAATGATGTATTCTGTTGCATCAGTAAAACACATTGCCGACTCATTTATATAAATGGATGACAGGCACATAGAATAAAAGCTGTATTTGACTAGTTAAAGACTAAAGACTGGTCTCATTGAGACTAATTAGAAGTCCTGGTTGCTGGAGTGCATGCTTTTATCTTGCTTTCTAACATCTGAAATTAACTACAAATGATGTTTGTGAAGTCTTAGATTTAAAGCAAACATAAGTATTGGCAGACAGGGTCATTTTGAAGATGATGTCAGCTATGAATAAATAACTGGAGTGATGTTGCCACTTCTGTATTCATTTCTTAACTAACTGCTTTCAGTCAGGGACAAAACCTGACCCCTGTGGATTTGGCTGCATGCTCGGCATAAATGTCATCATCCTACCAGTAACACGAAACCAGTGAAAATGATTTTCTGTCGTGTGTTTGCTAAGTAACACCTGGGTGACATACTGATTGAACTACTTTCAAGAAAAAAACCCACACACACTTTCCACATAAGATAAGAATGTGGTCGCTCATCAACAGGATATTGCGGCCTGCTGTATTCCTGTCAAATCCCTGTGATGGATAAACTTCGATTTCTTTCTCACTTTGTTTAATTCCGTGCACTACTGGCAAACACGCTTGTCACCCGTTCAAATAATTACTGTGTTGCTTAACCAATAATAATTAAACAGTTTTATAATCCAGAGGAGATTGTGGAGTGTACAAGACACAAACCAAGCAAGTAACAATCTAATGAATTGGCTTCGAGTACATTTTCTCATGATGAACAAACACAATAAACTACTAAATTTTTAATAAATGATGCTGTTGACAGAATCTGGTGGTCATAAGATGATAAAGAATTAGGCCAATTGTGGTTTTAATATTGAGCTACAGAATTGAAGCAGATATCAGACTAATATACCTATACATAATAGACCTATATATTCAACCCCTCTGTGCTCACTGTTTCCTAAAGCTGACAGCCTCCACAATAACAGCGACAGATGAGAACGCTCAAGGATTTTATGTTGATTTCTTGTGCCCTCTGGTGGATGAACACTCCATCCAATCCTAGCTCGGGGTCTCTCTGTATGGAGGCTTGCCCATTCTCACTGTGTATGTGAGTCCAACTGAAAGCTGGCGCTGCTTATTTTCTTTGGCTCAGCTCTCATGGCTGTTTTACTCACACCTTCTCTTTTCCCGCAATAATTTGTCCTCTGTCCTCTGATTTTTTTGCACACGTGAAAAACATATCCTTTACATAGAAATGGTTAAATATCCTAAACGAAAAGCTGTTACTCTGAACGCACACCACTTCATCTGCAGGCACCATCACCTGTGAGTAAGTCATCAGCCTGCATCTGTGAACCTCAATCTTCTCCAAACCTTCAGTAAACCAAACCTGGTTTGCGTTTTCTATCTGAGGATTTAAAAAGTGATTGAGTGTGAGGAGTCACAAACCTTATTTTGAGAGGCAAAAGACAGATATTGTTGCACCAAATGTCCATGAAGAATTTCAGCAGTGAGTTTTCTTAAGCTTTTATTCATGACTGGGATGTACAACAAGTCACGGCATTCGCTGATCCCCACAGGTGAGATATGCTGATGTGAGTGACTGGATTAAGAGTCACTTTTTGTATATGCGATGTCCACTTTCCCTGTCAGTTACACTGTTCTGGAAGAAAACAGCTAATTAAATAGTGAAACACTTCAATCAAGATATGACCTGAACTATTTAAGGCCATCTTAGACAGGACAAAAAGAAGCCTTGTTTAAAACAAACAAGCCAAACTTACCAGCAGCCCTTTAATTCTGTAGATTTTGGCAAAAGGGGACTCGTCTACACAACCCAGGAGAGGGCGGGGTGCACCCATGTGTGGGAACCCCTCAACCATCTGCGGCAGAGGAGACATTCAAGAACACCAGCGGACCTGAGGAGGAGCCGTAAATGTCGCGAAGAAGTTACAGGAACGAGAACTCACGTTGTTCAGAGTGTCCGAAATGCTGTCCAAATCCCTCTTCCCTCCTGGACTCAGCCCGAACGACCAGTGCTGGCCGGAGACCTGCAGGAACACGCTTCCCACCAGCAGCAGCCACAGTGGCCACGATTTTACAGCCATTCTGAGGAGGAGGAAGAGGAGGGGAAAAAAGTCATATTATTGATTTTTCCTCCTTCCCCAAGCAAACATTTTGCCATCCCTCCCTGCAGTGGACTGTATGAAGTGATTCTCTTCTCACCTTCTTGTTCAGAATCCAGGAAACGTCTCCAATCTGCTCTGCTGTGCTTTGTGGATCCTCTGCCCACCGTGCTTTATGTGAGCCTGAGCCCCTGTCTCCTCCACTTCACCACAGGAGGTCACAAAGTGGGATTAAGCAACTCTGAGCGTCACCGGCAACCCACAGAGCGGTTTAAAAGGTTCCACTCAGGGTGTGATTTTTGCTGTTCCATTAAGGTAACAAGTTCTTCTACAAACATGTTATTTTCAGCTAATATCAGTCCCCCCCCCCTCACCTTCTTCTTTTATCATTCATTTGGAATGTAGGTGCGTTTGCATATTAAATAAAAGGAAAATATGAAAATAAAAGACAAAAACTTTTCTTTATTCATTGCAGTTTATTTTTAACAGTCTTTAACGGAACCATATTTCCAGGGCCGAGTGCAATAATCAGGGAGAAGCGCGCCGCTCCCCGTTTTTAAACACAAATCAGCATCTGCCCCATATTGCATTCAGTGAGATGTATCAAAATAAATAACCATAGCTCTTTCATTGATTTTCACACTCAAGTTGAAATACACAATTTGATTGCCTTCATCATTCATTCTGGCAGGCCGGGTACCTACTGTGGGACTGAGTGAGTAGTATTGCATCGGAGCAGCTCTCAGCTGCCGCCGGAGAAACGTCACCAGTCAAACACCAACACATCTCCTCACGCATGCAGACCCACGCATAAAAAAACTGAGGTGAGAGACTTTACAAAACAACAGAAAACACCCAAATACTCTTTTTGTTTTAGTTTTTTTTGGAAGGGCTGAGCGAAGTTTGGGAAGTGCGGGAAGCCTTTCGTTTAGGAGTAGATAAGAAAAGCACCAAAGTTTTTTTTTTGGTGGGTATACCGTGTAACACGTTTAACATACACATGTGCAAAATATCTTAAAAGCGCGATTGAGGGACATACTCGAAGGAGTAAGCTTTATCTGCTCCTTTCCTGCTATAGCGGACCAAGCTTATCTTTGTTTATATGGAATATGAGGAATATTGAATGGTAAAATGGAAAGGTTTGGACAAGCTGTGGCACATTCAAAAGCATGCAACTGTGGATCGCTTACACACTGGATTGATAAAAGAGGTAGATTCACAGAACACAAAACAAGGGAAAGTAATATTTTTAAGTAGGAAAGGAGGAACCTCGCAGCTCCACATGATGTATTGCATACTCGAGCTGTGTTTAGAGCTGGCCTGTAGCATAGATTTACAGTGCACTAGCAGCACTTGTAGCCTCTCAGACTGTGCTGTGGTACTGTATGGCTTTGGCTTGCATCGCTTACTAAACATACTTAAGGAGGCTTATATCGTCTACAGACACTAGAAATGATAAAGACACCTCTTCCCTTTCTGCTGCCGCAGCATTCGGTGATGCTCAGCTTTACCGCTCGCAGGTAATCAGATTTCCAGACCTTTTAGCGTGTCAAGTAAATAGAAATGATGCGAAACGTAACATGAGTTTACACACTGGACTGTGTCCAGACACACCAACAAACACAATGAGCATTACTTTGGTGAATTATGCAGCTGAACATTGAAAACACAAACACTGGCAACCCCTTAATCGACTCTAGTGCAAGATAGTTAAATATTTTGGTGGAATTCAAGGGCTCTGCGCGCAGTCACCTGCACTGCACACAGGACAAAAAGGAGAGAGAGACTCCACAGGCGGGCCGGGGGAAAGGAGCCGGAGTTGAAAGTGTGCGCGGCTGAGTTATCTGACACTCTGCGACATGTGCAGAGGGGTCAGCATCTCTTCGAAAATGGCTCCTTTCACATTTGACCCTCTCAGGTTGGCCTCTTGTAGATCACAGCCCGACAGGTCGCAGTTCTGCATAACGCAATGAAAGCAGCGAATATTAAAACCTGACCCCTTTATTCTATTTCATTTTCATCTCCTGTCTGACAGAAGATGAAGAGCACCAACAGTGGAGAGAAAAACTCTGACTGTCGGGTTACAAACGCATCTGTCAGTAAATAGGAACTCAAGGCACCGGGTAAACATTTAGTCCTTGAAGATAATCCCACTCGACAGATTTCATTTACCTCCAGATCAGTCCCTGCTAAAGTGGCCCCCCGCAGGTTGCAGTTCTTCAGCTTTGCATTTTTCAGAGTGGCCACACGCAGGTTGATGCCGGTCATCTGGCTCCCTTCCATGTCGACTCCTTTCAGGTTTGCACCTGATTGGAAAAGCGCAACGTTAAAAAGAGGCAGCAGATGTGCACTGACGTGTGGATTTTGATAGGTTACCTTCCAGGTTGGCCTTCAGGCCGGATGGATCTTCGAAGTTGCATCCTTTGAGAGAAGCCCCCTCGGCATTGGAGCAGAGCATCTTCACTCCTTGTAAGTTAGCACCCTTTAAACGGAAACACAAAGATCATTAAGTGCTGGGAATATTCCTGTTTAGACTAAGCCATATGTCTCAAAACGGCTGAAACAACTTTTGGCGCTTCTCAATCACTGGGCACCTGCTAACGATGTAGAAAAAGCCTTAACACTTACATCCAGATTGGCTCCAGAGAGGTCAGCCCGCTCCAGATTGGAACAGCACAGATTAGCATGGGACAGATTGCAGCGGCTGAGATTAGCCATCTTGAAATTAATATAGCGCAGATCCAGCCGGGAGAGGTCAGCACCACTGAAATTAAGCCCCTGAAAAGAGTAAGAAACACCGCATAGCTCTTTAACGTGACCCCCTTATGCGACTGGGCACAAACGAAACATCCAGATGTGGCGATACCTGACAGCGGAGCTCGGACTTTGTGGGTGTTGCTAAAAGAAAACGCACAAACTCTTTGCGGGAAATGGGCGAGTGGTCCTCCGGGGGCTGCGAGTTCTGTCTCAAAAGCAAGGACATGGAAGTTAGAACAGATTCAATGGGAGGAAAAAAAAACACATTGACCAAAGGCACATTTCATACCACCTTGATTGCTACTTCCAGCTGTTCAGCCAACTGCTCAACTCCAAAGAAGCGGGCCTCCTCGAGGACTCCTGGAAGACATTTAGGGATGTCATTCCTCCGTTTGTGTAAAGCAAATCACAGTTTGGGGTGTTTAGGACTTATATTAAAAGTTCACCTTTTATGTTTATACCCTCATTGATAATGAGCTGGCCATGTCTCAGATAATTGAGAATAGGCTCAAAGTATTCGGGGCTGCGGTCGATTAGGTAAGCGCCGTGATCATCCCGCTTGTTTCCCCACACATCTGGAGCCAAAAGAGACCAGAAGCACATAAAAAAACACGCCTGTCAACAGACAAAACTTGAACTTTTACTGATCGGCTTTTTCCAGGCACCTTTTTCGCGAAACATGTGAGCGAGCATACTCTCCGGCTCCTTGCTGACCAAAGTGCTCCTGGTCAGAGAAAAGACACAATCCAAAAATGATGGACATCGAAATCTCATGTTTACAGGATTTAATGGGAAACAATATTTGCACCACAGATACCTGGTGGTCGTGAAGAGACGGCCACCGATATTAAGGGTGAGCCAGTCGGTGTGTGCTCCATCGGATGTATCCTTGGCTTCATTTTGTGGGTCTGTGATAAAAAGGGAAACCATGAGGCTGAAACCATGTGGGCACTTTATAGGGAATAAAAGCCCCCAACGCAGCAGCAGTTAACACTCACCAATGAATGGGTCTCCTTCTGACACATACAGGACATCGTCATCACTGTCACAGTCACAAATGGGTAGATCAAACACACAATAAGTCATTATGTTGAAACAATCCAGACTGCTGATGCCTGAAGTCAACCTACCGGATTAGGGCAATGTCATCTATGAGACCACCCTTTCCATTGTACAAACAGCAGGCTTTGATTCCCAGCTTATTGCTTGCTACGGACAGTAAATCAGACAAGGTCCCATAAACTGCTACAACCTAAAAACAAAGGAAAATAATCGATGGGTCAAAGTATCAATCCGAATGAATCATTCCACTGAAATATAAAACGATTATATCAGTTAGCTGATAATCACTAACCTGAGATTCTAAGTGTTAAAAAGACATGATAAAGGTAAACTTTTAACCTGTCCTTAACATTTCCAAATACAAAAAATACGACTGTTTGTTGTCCATCAGGACAGAGCTACTGTACAATTTGTTCAGTGGAAAAAGCTTGTCATTCTGCGGCCCGGGCTCCCACACCGAAGGGGGACTTTTTTACCCACCTTGCCATTTTTAGATGTCCCGTTAACAAATAAGGTAACTCTTCTCATTCTTCTCTCGCTTTGGTTTAAAGCAGTTTCATATAAATACAGTGATAACGTTATACTAGCCAGCTAGCTAACGCTCTACGAAACAAATGAAGCTGGCCAACTAGCTGCATCACACAACAACACGAGACACAAGATGCCTTCGAGACTATCCGGAAAATGTATAATTATGCTTTATTTTATTAGCAAATGTTACTGAGAGCCTGAAGATGAGTTTAACACAGAGTCAAAATGAGGATCAAGTTGTGTATTTCGATTCTGTTGGATTTCCTTATATAATAGCGGTTAATTACTAAGTATTGTAACCATTTTAATCAGAGATGTGCGAGGAAGCGCAGGTTGTGAAAGCTTGAATAATTTAAATAGTTATAAAAGTGCAGATAACAATAAAGAAGGTGTTTGATGTCAGATAAACAGCTCGAACTGCTAAATCTTTATCGGCATTTAATCTAAGCAAAAAACGGCAATTAAAACGAGAAATTCGGACAGTACTTTAAGATGTATTTCTGCCTGCAATTCTGCAATTGGTCGAAGAGATTACGTAAGCACGTTTCGTACGTCAAGCTGTTAGGTCATTGGTGCTAACATTAGCCATCCAGAAGTCATTCGTTTTGCGCGTCAGAATTAGGATTAAAATAGTGGCGTTTCACTACAGTAAATGAGAAAGTTGAACTTGCTGTTGGGTTAAAGATTATGTTACCTTATACCCTTTGAATTTGAGTTTGTTACGAAGCTCGTCACAATAAAAGTAATTTTTCTATCATCCAAAAAGTGGCGTTCAAGCTCAGGTTTGAAAATATTGTTCTTTTTTTGGAGCTGCCATTTAATCATGTCTGAAAAACACCATTGTTCGTGTTGCTCCCATCCAGTCTCCACTCCAAGTGTTCAGCAGAGTCTGAATGAAATGGATTTTGAACGAGGTTTGCATACATTTGTCAGACATGTGGTGTCTATATGAAAATCAATTAATCAATTACACTATGCCACTACTTGATGTCACTTTTGCTCTATTAAAATCATTCTCAGTTAAATATAGCGTTGCATTTTGCGTCACCCTGTGCAGGAATCTGGTCAGCTGCAATGGACGGGGACTTGGACAGAGTGAAGTCTCTGATCCAGAAGGGGACAGACCCAAACCTGAGAGATTCTGCTGGATACACAGCTCTGGTAACACCACGGTTCTGATTCAAATATAACACAGGTCACTCCTTATTTTCCTAATATTCACTAATCCTCATATTTATTTCTCCCAGCACTATGGAAGTCGCAATGGTCATCTTGCCGTATGCACATTTCTGCTTGATAAAGGAGCGTGTTCATCCCCTCAGACTCCGGGCGGGGCCACGCCGCTCCATCGGGCAGCTTTCTGCGGCCGTGCAGATGTTGTTCGACTCCTTCTGCAGCACCGAGCTGATCCGATGCTATGTGACGATGATGGTGCGTCTGCTTTACATAAGGTACAAAGCTGCCTGCCGTTGCCCGATACAACAGCCTCACTGGAGGAGTTTTTCACACTTATTTAATCATTTTCTTTGTGTATTTCTTCTGCTGGGTTCCTTGTAGGCTGCAGAACAGGGTCATGAGGAGGTGTGCCTGCTGCTTCTGGAGCACTGTCCTGCTCTCTGCAGTCACAGGAACAAGAGGCTCCAGCTGCCCTACCAGCTGGCACAGCAGGCAGGCCTGCAGGAGCTCTTAAAACCACCTTCCTGATGAGGGGCGTTCGTAATCAGGGGCACGCTGACATTCTGATTCCACAAAGGAGCCACCGATTGAAACGTGACAGCACTTTTATTGCTTTGAGTCACAGACAGGATGCTGTATCTGATCTGTAGTGGACTGTCTTTTAACAGACTGCTCCTCTTGTGCCCGAGCTGCGGGGTCAGGGTTTAAAAAGTCTATTTGAGTCTTCAGGTTGTTTTACTTTAGATAAATGTATAGATTTCCAAATGATCTGACATACGGGGCAGAAAGGCTTATCTAAGAATAATGTGCATGGATCAATCGTTATATAGAACTTCAAAGTCATAAAAAGTTACAAGAAACTCTTTCTTGTAAGTGTTGCAGGAAGGAAACAATGTTTACATCAGTAACTGCTGATTTTCTCACAGTGGTTTTCAGGGGTTTGCTCGATCCTTACTACGGTTGGTAGGTGCTGGGGGGGCGTTCAGCCACCGGATCCGTTCCGGCTGCTGGTGCTAAACAAACATGTTGTCAGACCCAGGTGGAGATCGTCAAACTGCTGGAAGGCCGTGATGTGTTCCTGGTACCAGAACCTCCCCCATGCAGCACCAGCAGTAATCCGGTGATGCTCACTGAACCCTGATGTGCATTAAAAAGGTTCTATTTGCAAACCATCAGGAGTCTTTTTATGAGCTTGTGTTGGAGCACCGACAGGAAATGCGGCAGACTTTCCAAAGTGCTTTCCCTCTGTTGACATGCTGGACGACGGAGATGTTTATGATAACCAAATGTTCACATCATCAGACGTCTGATTCTAAGTACCTGCCCAACACTATTTAAAAAATACTGGCGACTCATATTTCTCACCTCGTGTGGACATTTCCCAGTCTATAGTGGATTACATTAATGGGCATTTGTGGCAAGGGAAGCAGTTGTATACATCACAAAATGGGAAATTGAGTGAATTTGGAAATGTTCTTATTTTGATCAATATTCATAGAAGTGCCTGGGCGTGTTCCTTTGTGGTTAAAACTATTACATTTTCTGCTGAGGTACTCAAGCTAGAGGCCAGCATCTTTAACAGAAATGAAGTTATGATAATGCACATAGCAGTACAAAGCAGCTCCTCAATGTCCCAGGAAACGATTGACTATTTGGCTTTTCTTTAGAAAAAATCGATTTGATTTTTTCCATTATAAAATATGATTTATTAATTTAAAAAACACGTGATAGGTTATATGTTAACCGTGGTATATCACTGATAATATTTGAAAGCTACATTTATTCATGTGATCGTCTTATTGGGGGGCTTTCTGTGTTGGGTTTGCGTGTTTTCTTGTATAAATGGGCTCTCTCCTCCAGCTGTGAATTTAATTTAGGAATTAATTCATTAAGGGTGGGTAGCACTGTTTTGTAATCTTTACAATGTATAAAAAATAAATGAGGGACGTTTCATTTCTAAATGTCATCCATGTAATTACATTGATTTGTAATATGTCCAATTGTAAGTAATTTTTTTTTCTTTTTTCTTTTTTTGTTTATTAATTTTTTTGACTGACCAATTCATATCCGAGAGTTTTCTACTGTAAGACAGGTTTCTTTTGACCTATGACTGTGTTAACTCTTTGGCCAATTAATCTCAAACTCATCTTCTTCAGGTTGCTGAAATAAGGCCTTCCAGATGTGACGGTTGCTGGTTTTCTGAATCTCTGACAGTAGGGGGAGCCATTGTCTTTAAGGAGAGAAATATGTTTTTCCAGGGAGCAATTTTTGGATTTGATGGCAGAAATCACAGTGACCTCATCCAATCCTCCATGCACACCATTGGAAAATTTCACAGTGCAACTATTGGGTAGAGGGAAAGGCATCAATGTAACTGTTACGGCCCACGTTGAACAAAAAATCAGAAGCTAAACCTTTGAAACATTTCACATGGATGTTTAGTTCTCTTCTTTATGTGGTGAGTTTACTTATAATCAACAATAATCCAATAATCTAGATTCCTCTAGCCTTTAATGAACATTTTAATAGGTTTAAATAAGAAAAGGTGAATTTAGGTTTTTAAAATGCTTTCCTGAATCTTTTGCCTCCCAGTTTAACTGTAACCCTAACCCATCTTCTTCAAACCAAATCAGGGTCATACTTCCTTCAGTCGTCTCGCATGTGCTTACTTATTCAAAGCGTGTTCCATTGGTAACACATGTGCGTGTACGGGGCAGATACCTTTGATTTGCAGGACATTTACACCCTTCTGTTTCCCCGCGGTCCACGTAAATGCGAACCCTTCGACAGAAACCTCTCTCAGCAGCCCGAGGAACTTTCATTGGGTCCATTGGTGGGTGGTGTTTCCACACTACCTTCAAACCACATCCATGCCGTGACTGGAAGGGTGCCAGGCCACATCTGGAGCTCATTGCAGCTGACGCCACACAACACAAGGAGATGGGGTGTCAGGGGGTGGATGGGGGTGGGCTATTTAGGCGGAGGGAGCTGTTTATGCTCAGCTACAAGTTCCTCTTTCCACACAGCTGAGGTGCTGGAACCGGGATCACCTTTTGCTGATTGCCCCAAGTCAGTGAAAGCAGGGATTTCCGGGTCTTTCTTTTTTCTTTTTTTTTTCTCTTTAATGTCTGTGCTCAAAATCATACCAAACAAAGGCCCCGTATAGCTGTTTCACTCATTCTGAGTGACACACTGACCAGCAGTCTGCCTCACAGCGCACTCAGGTTGTCCCTTTACCAGCTTATAGGAAACATATTCAAAGCTGATGTTTTAGATTTGCGAGCAGTGAGGTAATGAAAACCTTCTGTGTCGCTCGGTAAAACTAGAGGAATGTTGAGGGGCCTCATCCGTTATTGATCATTTTTCATAAGCTGTTTGAATTGGAGGTTTTTTTTCACCTTTTTATGTGGAAATAATCAAAAAGGTCCTTTTTCCCTCGCTTTTCTCCCCTCAGTCTCTATAAGGCAGCTGTGAAACCGGACTAAGTTTTATTATGATAAAGGTTACAGAAAGCTAGATCTCGATAGATACGTGTGATTTTTATGTCTGGCTTTTTGAGAGCTTAGACGGTTGTGAAGACTTGGGAAGGACTCCACAAGAGGAGGAATTCAGACTGTAGCTCTATTTAGTGAGATTTATTTGGAAAGCAATGAAACTTCCTGGCCCTGGAACCCACTTCCACCATAATGAGCCCAAGTTAAATCCAGCACTGGATGTTATTTTCTGCAGAAATAGACGGTGGTCTGTGTGCCATGCTTGCCTGGAAGTTCTGAAGTCAGTGCTCACTATTTTAAACAACACTTTCGTCTGCGAGAGGATAATGAGAACAGCTTGTCTTTTGTGTGCACTTTGAATTATGTTCAAGCTATAAAATGTGTAGCTCCTGTGGCTACCAAAGGAATAACAAATGAAACCCACCAACAGATTTTGTGCTTAACTGTGAAAATATTCATTTTGGGTGTGTTGGATTCATTTTTAATCGTGTTTTCCCAGACGAAAAGGTGGTCTTTACGTTTCCTGTGTCCACCTGCACTAAGCTAACGTTCCAGCCACAGAACATCTCCTCTCTGAGCTCCCCTGAAGTAATCAGGTAAATGGCTGGCAGATGGGTCCATGTTGGGATGTGGGGGACCGGACTCTGGAATGGAGAACAAATCCACACTGTTTTGTAGTTGTGAGGTGCTGGGCGAGGGGGCGTGTGTAATCAAATATATGAGGAGCTGCTTCTCAGAGACGCTGCATAATCCAATTTGGGTCTCCTCCTACTTCAAAGAAGCGTACTGGGTGCTGGTTGACGTGGTGTTTGCAGATCTGACGAGTCGGTGTCCTGGTCAGAGGGTGCTGGGATCCATAAGTCCATCATCATGGTGTGTACAGGAAATGTCAGGGTTGTCAGATGATACAGCCAAACACAAACAAGGCCATAGGATGCATGTCTGTTAGATTTAGCTCCAGTAAAACTGTAAACTGTGTTTATCCCTCTTTTTTTATGTTGAACTTGGTACATGCGTCTTGGATCAAACTGCAACTCACACATCTGGACGATATCAAGACACCCCTAAAATCCCCCATAATAGCATTATTTTGTGTATATCTGACGGGGAATGGCTGTTTCTCTCTCTCCGGACTCCAGATTCTAAGGTTGAGTTCCTGTTTATTGATTATGGAGATGCAATCTCTTTAAAAGCATTGTTAGAGAAACAACATAAGCTGTTTCATATGAGTTGGAAAACAATTAATGTAGTCATATATCTTGCTCCCGTCATAGTAGAATGTTAGAAACCACATGATAGATCATCGGGCGCATCTGCAAAGGAGCTCTGCTCTGCACACCTTGCTCTGTGCACGGCGCCATGGTTCATGGGCACGGATTAGCCTGTTACCATCATAAAAGTCAGTAAAAGTTACTTTTTGGGCCTTTGTTTTGTATAATTTAGAACACAGAAATGTTTAAGTCCCAGAAACCCCTGCTTTCATCACCACTCCATATTTGTCTATCAAAACAGTAATAATATTTGCAGTCTGAATATGCTATTTTAAGTTTGTTGTACATTTCCTACAAACGAACACTAAATGTTTATGTCCCAAAGCACCATAAATGAAGCCTATAGCCCCTGCAAAAAAAAAACTGCAAAAACAAGCAAATTTAGGTGTTTATCAAACAGAATATTCACATCAGGTGTTAAAGATTAGAAGCAACCAGTGGCTCTTTTTGTATTAGGCGTTATTTGCTCACATTTGGCAGCAGAACATTTGAAAGCTGGCTTAGATTTCTTTCTGCAATCTACAGGTTTTTTGCACATGATGCTGGCTGCAAACCAACCAGCTCTTTGATTTTTGCATATCCAACAGTCCAACATTTCCTCTCCATTATTTCTTTAGGGATGTTGGCTGTGTGACCCAATGCATCACATTTTCTGACATATGATAACCTGGAGCTGTTTTTTTTATCATTTGCTTCATACATTCGGTAAGAAGTACAAGTGAGATAATTAATGCTTAGTGGCCCAAACCAGGAAAAAAAAGGAGAAATATGTATTTTTATCTAAAGTCTTTATTTGGCTTTATAAAAAAACATGTTTAAATCTAATGACGTGAACATTTTTACTAAAATGCAACAAGAAGGAAATATTTTTTTATAAAAACTGTTTTATGGGGTCAATTTATCAACTTATTATCTATTTATTCAAATGTTAAATCTGTTTATCAAATGATACATACAGCATTACAAGGTCAATGTGGAAAATAGTCTAAAATAGATTTAGTCACAATTCATAACACATTTGTTAGGCAAAATAAACAAAGAATTTGTGTGAATTAACGACTTTATTGTGAATTAATATGAATTTAATCTATATTTATTTTCATTTTGTTGCATGTAAACAAAGACGTCTACTTTTTATTCCTCATTTTTTAGATATGATTCCTGAGGGACTTGCAGGTTTTTTTGTTTTTTGTTTTTTGCTAATGTCTGAACCTTTCTCTGAACCTTTGTCTTTGGCCTTGACAAATGGAGCTTTACTTGTTGCACTGAGCAGAATGTGGGGCAATCTGGAACCAGACTGTTTACAAAGCTTTTGTGAGGTTGAAGCCTTTTTATCATTGTAAATGACCCTCTGGCATTTTTTGGGTCAATGAATTTAGATACTATTTTCAAATGAATGTGCTGGTGTTTAAATATTGGTTCATTAAGATTCCTCAAACTTTCTAAATCATACTCATAATACCATTCTCACGGGGTGTTCTTTATGTTTAATACTATTATCAGTACTGGAGTAAGGAAGCAGACAAAAACCTGCAAGTTTCTAAAAACAATTCAAGCTAGATTCCCAGTTGCACTCAGACCTCAAGGGCAGGACATGGTTTGGGCAAAACAAGTGATAATCAGTCACGACTGAAGCAGGGGAGCTGGCACCTCACTCATTAAGAACTCCACAAGAATAGTAAACAGCAAAATAGCCACAATAGTGGTGACAATGCGCTCATTCAGTGTGAATGAGTACGGGGCTCGCAACACCGAGCTGCACGTGTAATTGAACAAGATGGTTACGCTGATGAACTAAGACTCATGGGGGCACGCCGTTCCTCTGTCAGCAGGTGCCCAGCACACACTGGCCCATTCATATGCGCATTCCTGTCTCTCCGCTCGCAGCTCAGCAGGTTCCTCCCGGCTACTCAGGACAGGGGCTGACACACACAAAGGGTCTTCAATCTGCCTCAGACAACAGCCTGCATAAAGGCCCGGAAAACCACAACAGCATTATGTCAAAGAGCTGGCTGGGGGTGGTGAGCAGAGCTTGGGGGGCCCCCGTGTTGGACAGGGGCTCTGCTGATGGATGGATGAGGGCTGGACACTGGCTGCGTCGTGGAAGGCCCGGCTGAGGATTTTGTCCATAAAGGAGGATATTTGTACTTGCTGGGTAACAATGGAATGCAAACACGGGGAGCAAGGACAATAAAACACCACATTGGGGCGATGAAAAAGCTGCAAGGGAAATCATCATGCAAAGCAATGATATTGTTCACTCTGAGGATTGCATGACTGTGTTTGTTCTCATGCTGATGTGTGGCTTCGCCTGCCTTCAGTTTGCTTTTGCATAAGGTATTCCTGGCTTTAGCAGGGTCCGGTACATTTCCTTACTCTGAAAAGGAGCGAGGAGCCACTAGAGATGCCCCACCTCATCTGGAAACAGACTGTTCAGCTTGAGCTTTTGTTAGCTGCATCTAAGCAAAGGTCCAACTGACTTTAGGAACTGCAATGTCCCAGCCATACATCAGAGAATGAGTCATTTACATTATCTCCTCCTTTTGTAGAATACCTGAGTTCGAGCTACAGGTTAACAAAAAAGATTCCACTTTATGCCTTCAGTTTCCAGCCTTTTGATCCCGTCATAGTACTGGTGTAATGTGTGTAACTCGGGCTACCGTGGCATGTGCACGTCCTGGAAGCAGGCTAATGATTAAAAGGCCTTTCTTTATTAGCTCCAAACAAAAGTTTGCAGCCTTTATTCTCTATTGTGAAAAATGAACCAGAGCATTGCTGCTAAAAGCTCCCCCAACACTTTTACGCTAAGTTCTACAATTACCTTTGTTTTCATTTCATTTTTGCGTGTCCTGTAGATCCAGATTCTTCCGCACTAAGCCGCCTCTGCCTCGGTTTCCGATAAACCACTCGTCTCCTGTCATCAGTGAAAAACCAATAAGCAACCAAATGCATAAACAGAGCACCATATGCTCTGAATTCTGCCAAGGCTTTCATGCTCTGGCTCCTTATACACACCAAAATAAACGTCTATAATGGCTCCAAACTTCTGCTGCATCAAAGATCTTCGGAGTCGTATTCTGGTGCAGAGGGTGTAAGATGTGGCTGCTTGCTGCACATGCTTGTCTAACTCTCACTGTTAGTTGGCCTAATAAACATACTTGTTTTTCTCTCTGGTATGTATGTGGTTGTCAGATTCACACTCCATCTGCTATGTAGTTTGCAACTCCCTTTGAGGCTGAAAGTTTAGAGGCACTGTGTCATTTGGCATCAAAGTTAATGGCTATCACTTACAGGAATAATTAAAACATTTTGAAATGTCTTTATATGTTTTTTTTCTGGGAGGTTTCAGAAGAAGATGGATACCACTATCACAAATGTGCGTTAAACAGCTGGGAGTTTGTTCAGAACGGGTCGGCCTCTCTAAATAAGCCATGCTCTTGTCTTGTCTGGCTGTAGACATCTTAAACGATAACCAGGAAGCCTCATAATGGGGACAATATTTGAGGAATCACCTTTAGAAGAAAAAGTTGTCCAGAAAAGTTTAAAGCTTCAGTGAGAGAATATTGTATGCAACCTCATATTAACAAAATACATTGTAGTTATTCAGATCCATATTCCCATAACAGTGTCATGAATGTTTCTTGTTTAAAAAAAACACAAGGTATGACAGAAGAAGATTCTGTAGATTACCAGACTTCTGTGACACAGTCTGTTTCCAGAGAACACAACGCTTTTTAGCTCAATAAACTCGCTTGAGCTTTTTGACATTGAAGTGCTAGTAATGGCTAACGTAGCCCAGAACTGCTTACTCAATACAAAAGACTGAAGCTTTGTACTCTGCGAGCTGAGTTTTGTTAATCTGGTTAAACCAACGCTGAAGTACACTGATAAGAATCAGATTTGGATTTTTAAGTACAAAATCAGTAACACAACAAGTAAAAAGCACTATGACATAACACTTAAAATTATATGTTTCTATTTAACTCTATTCTATCAGTATTTGCCTATATTCCCTTTTCTCTACGATTAAATTGCAATACATCTCTTGATTTGGATCGATGCTGCTTGTAATGTTTTGTATGTCTGGGTGTCGTTAATGGTTTTGATGTTGCAATATGCTCTCACACTTTTAGGTCATTATCTAAAGAAATTGTACCATGGGCAAATCACTGACCATCCTACATCTTCATCTTCCTGAGCTGGCTGATAGAAGCTCCAGTTGAGGCCTGAGTTTCAGTCAATGTAACAGCAAAACACCTTTTGCTCCTTATGGATAGCAAAGAATAAAAAGTACAGCTTCTTGATACTGGATTGCATAAACAACCTTACAGCCCTGACTTTCATTACAAATGTTTAATCTCCAGGAAAGTAAAGCTCACAAGGAAGATGGATCAAGCTCGTCACTGTTCGCCAGCCAGCTCATCCCCAACATCACATGTTTTTAAAAAAAAAGGCTAATCCATGTTGGAACACAAATCAACTTATTGTGTCATTCTTTAATCTATCTATGAATCTGGGCTTCATATGTTTCTTCTATTGTCTGTCATTTGTCAACTGTGACAGGAAACCAAAGACCATATGAGATCTTTAGCTATGAACTGTGTTTGATCAGGCAGAGCAAACTTTGAGTTTGTGCTGAGCGTGCAGACATTTGAAATTCTGATGCTCTTTGAAATCATGCCAGTTCTTCATTCCAAAACAATAAAGCATTTTTTCATAGTGTCCATCAACAGGATGTTGATAAAAGTGGTTGATGAAAGTAAATTAATATTTGTGTTTGTTTGCTCAATGCAAACTCAGTTCCATTGTGTCCCGCAAAATAAAACAAATAATGGACATAGAAAAACCTTGTCTTCATAAGTGTTGTGCCATTTAAAAATTAAACTTGGTTCCAATTAATTTATCTCAGATGTGGCTTTAACTGCAGACGTGTGTGGTGTTGTGTTGCTGTGGTCAGGACTTCATTTGAAGCAAGGTTGTCTTGTCTGAACCCTTTGTTGTATTAAAAATGTAAATGTAAGGGGCCCTCCATCTGTAGTTGGAGTGTGTTTACCAGGCCCCCAGTCCCACAATGCAAAGAGCGCGGTTTGAGGCTTGTGGTGAAGCTCATCTGCAGAGTGCTTGTGGATGGCAAGGGGAGCCAGGTTTCCACAAGACGTGGCATCAAGCTGAAAAGATTCCGCTCAACAGATGAACGGAAGTTCCACGTCCAGAAAATAATTCCTGCGCACAGTTAGTTTAGGATTTCTTGGAGTTTTGAGTTTGCCAATCTTTGAAAAATTATGCTTACGTTATAAATCCATTTTAATTATTTTAAATTGCTAGACAAGATTACATACAACCCCCGTTGTTGTGCATATCCTGATGAGTAAATTAGCCATTTTAACTGAAGGTGCAACAGTCTTTGACCATCGTCTTGCAGTGTAAAAATAGGGATATAACAGTAATTGTTAGCAGCTGCTCTGTTTAGTCCAATTTACGTATTCGCCATAGAAACCATTTACGTGCCACAGCCAGACTGATTTTTATGTCGCAAACTCAGACCGGAAGTTGGGCGCGCACTGGCTCTGACTTGATCTTAGTCTGGGGAGTGTGTGTGCGTGCATACTCTCGGTTTAAGAGGGGGAGGTTATGAGCCACTCGGACTATCGTTGTGGAGCAGCATTTCTCCGCCAGGAATGATCAAAATACTTTTCAGGTTTCATCTCAGTACCGCTTCTTTTTCTTTTCGTTAAGTACAGAAACACCACTGAGCGTTATGTATCTCTGAGCATTTTTCTGGAATTAGTTAAGTAACTTCGGGATACACTTTCCAGAAGAGAGGGGAGCCAGGATTTCATCGCGTGAGACGTGTTGGGATAAAGGGATTACCAAAAAAAAAAAAAAGAAACAGCGCACAGCCTCCACTCGCCCAGTTTCTTCGGACCTGATAAACTAGGTAAGATTAAAAAAAGAAAGTGGTCGCAGCTCAAGTAAGAGCCACAGATTCTTTTTTTTTAAAACTTGACAAATGAAACATTCGGAGCGCTTTTCCCATCCGCTCTAGTTGGTTAGTAGCTCGTTTCTCTTAGTGGGGCGACGTTTTCTGGTTCTGTGGCAGAAGTTGGGGGAGAAATATGCGCAAACCTGTTAGCTAAACGTCGGTAGCTGGGCGCGAGCGAACTTCGTTAATGGGCCACATTGTTAAAGTCTGGAACTACGGGGCTGTAAGTTTCCCCCGCATCCCCTCTCAGCTCGGGACTCTTCCTTATATCCGAACCAACACTGGCAGTTTCACAGCTCCCCGCCAGTAAGCTCAGCTGGTCGTTTTTTATTCCCTCCGCTCTTTGATTTGGCCTCATTTTACAGCTTATTACCGTTAAAACGGGCTAGCCATTGTTTGCCGTGGCAGTGAGTTGATGTAGGAGGACTTCATTTGTTAGAAATGGGGGCCGAATAAAGATTTGCAGCCATTAAATTGGAAAGCAAATATTTAATTGCATTCAGCGGCGTGTTGTGCCCTTTTACTCAACGAAATGGTGCCTTCTAGGGAGGTTTTTTTTTATGCGTGGTGACACCAGTGCCTCCCCCATGCTTGTAAATGAAAGGGTACGAAAGCCCAAGACTCCGGGTTTGCCTCCAGTCCTGTTAAAACGTGCTTCAGTTTTTCCTCTGTCAGGCACCTTTAAATGAGACGAGATGGTCTGCTTTGATAAACACTAACTACATAAAGGAGAGTCCCTTGGAAGCAGATGTTTTAAAGCAGATTCATGCCTTTTTAAATAATAAAAAGTATTACACCCTTACACTTTTTCTTAACCTTATTGTAGTCTTATGCTATGTTTAAATAGGCACCATCAAATGTGTTGCAGGTTTGTAAAAAATCTGATGTTCATTTGCCTGTGTTTTATTGATCAAAGATTGATTTTGTTTTTCCCAGAGGAAAAAAAAGTCTGCCTGATTAAGAAGTTACCTGAATTTAAGTGTTTGAATTTTCAGAGGGATGACCTTTGGCCATCACTTTAACATCTGTGGCAAAGTCTTGTTCTGCCGGCCTGATGTTATGCAAAGCTCCAAATGTTATGTTATAAAGGGAGAGAGACAAGATTGATGGTTAAGAAAAGCAGTAAGTCTGCAAGGGAGTAAACCTGAAAGCGTAAAAAAAATTTTAAAAAAAGTTTTCCTGAATCATATAATGAGAATGGAAGAATAGTTGTGCCCTTTCATTTGCGAGGCTGCTCCCTTAGCTCAGTTGTCACTTCAGCTGTGTATTTAAGCAGATGTAGTATTCAGGTGTTAAATATTTCCTCAAGAGATTTCCACTTGTGTTCAGTGTGCTGAAAGCCGCAGGGATACTTTTGTTTTTCCGGTGTCATTGAAAAATTTCATACCGATTTGAAAATGGTATTTTCTCCTAATATTGATAAGGCAGAGGAAAATCTCTCGGGTACCAGGCAATGCTGCAGAAACACTTTAGGCTTAAGTGCAAAACCAAATGGCAGAGTGTCAGGTGGCTTGAAATGGATTGTTTTTACATTTCAGTGCGATCTTATGACACCTTATATCCTGCTGTGGCATGCTGGTGGTGGCCCACTGCTTCAGATTGTATGTCTGCGAAGAAAAAAAAAAGCAGAGGTGTCTGTTTTTGTGAAAACAGTAGCCTCAGGGAAATGGTCTGATGTCCACTGAACTGCAGCCATGTGCAGACTGGCCTGTTGCTGGCTATGAGAGCAGACTAAAACAGAGGGGGTGGGGGATACAGAATTGGGGAGCTGAGGAATTTTATGCATGGATGGCAGTGAACAGTAATTATAGTGAGGGCCATGTTATAGGTTAGGCCAGTAACCTTTGTCTTTGTATAATGAGAGAAGCGAAATGTGTCATGCATGCATTAATCAGTTTAGTCTACCCCCTTTTAAGTTTGGATGATTTTGTTGCCCACTTTTTTCAAGCAAGGGGCGGGGGGGTAAAAATGTTTCTCTTTATTTTCTAGAGCCAATTATAAATCTACGTTCATTCAAATGGAGTTGAGCATTAAAGTGAAAGGGAAGAGTGAATTTTATGGAATAGATTAAACTGGTTCTGCCAACATGTGGTCACATATCGCAGGACATGAATGAGGTGCTTACACACCTCAGCCACACACTCACATTGCTCACTTAGCAGCTATTATGTTTGAGAGATCCCAGATTTTAGAGATTTGTTTGCTATCTTGTCCCATTAATGTGAATGATACTGTTGTATATAGATAGTTTAAAATGCAGAGAATAGAAATGAAAAACCTACACTTTTCTTAAAGATTAATGTAGACAAAACCACATTCATTACTTTTGGGTCTTGCATATCATATCAGATAGCAGGATTGTCAGCTGCTCAAAACAAATATTGATTTTACTCTGAATTAGAAGCCTCATATTTCCCGTGGTGTATTTAACAGTAAATGAAATGTGACTAAAATGGCATTATCCAACAGCCTGCTGACGGGTTGGCCTCGGTTCATGACTCCTCCTTAGCCAAAGATGAGTATGCCCTCAGAGATGTCATTAGGACTCACTCACAGAATGCTTAACTCTACTCCCAGGGGCGTGGACTGTAACAAAACGGCCTGTCTTACTTTTAAAGATGATACTTCCTCCTCTTTCAAATATTACCGGTTGTTTTTGTGACAAAGGCCCGGGGAACGGCGACAGGCCATCTTTGCGGTTCCTTCTGTCTGGCAGCGGGACTACTTTTCTTGGAGGCTCCCCAAACACTGACTCATAGCTTACAGAGCAGAGATGACCATGCTTCTTTATCCCCCTCAGCCCTCCCCCTGACCCAGCTCAGCTGCTGGAACACTGGACCATTCTTGGAAAGTGAAATTGAATTGGTTTTGAGGAGAACACAATGACTGTTTCAGAGAGGAACATTAATAAAAGCTAAAGCTCTTAGAGGAAAGCACAGCCTCATCTGTGAGTTTATGGGAAAGTTTCAATCAAGGTGGTCCTCCTCTAAACCAGAATGCCTGGTTGTGGTTTCACAGAACTGCCCATTTTAGATGAAAATGTTTTCAGATGCTTTGGCTGATGTTTTTTCATTTATTTATTGATGAAGGCTTTAATTCCAGCCTTGATTTCTTGGAAGTCTCTTGTGAGTTCATGCAAGCACATGCTTGCGGGGGTTGGGTGTGTGTGTGTGTCTGTGTGTGAAGAGGTCATATATCAGGTTTAGGCATTAAAACCAACTGTTAGGTGATAGATCTCTCAGTGTGGAAAGGATGGCCTCTCTACGTGTGTCTCAAACAACAGGGTTTTTAAAATTCAAACTTTTAACGTTTTGTTTAACACATTTTTCAAATGGGAAAAGGAGAAATGACAGTTCTGGTCAAGTGTTAATCTGTGTGGCCAGATGCTGTCGAGCTGATTATTAAAGCAGATGTGCATGTAAGCGTCACCCACTCCTCTGTTTGGAGGGCACTGTAGATCTTTGGAAAGTTTAGTTTTTTTTCTCCTTGGAGACTGTCAACATATTCAAACCCTAGGTTGACAAGCTCAGACTTTTAGATAATTGCCTAAAAGTTTTGAACATTTTATTCCCAACAGCTGAGCAAAACATACCCTTCTTCTGTGTTTTCTGCACACTATCAGACCAAGTCTGGTATGTCGTGGTTTCTTATCACTGGATTGTACCAGCAGGCATAACGGCAGAAGTACTTTCTTGACCCAGACAAATGAACATGATATCCTCTCCCTGTTTGTTCGGTTTTAAAGGAATATAATAAATGATTAAAAAAAAAAAAACATAAAACTACCTGTAAACAAAAATAGGGTTATTACATTCCTGAAGTGTAGATTTTTACCGTTTTATTTCAAGCTTGAGCCAAACATCAGCAGATTAAAGCAGAGATTTTTTATTTTCCTGCAGATCCTTCATTTATGAATCTTGTTTTTCTTTCTAGTGGTGCCCTGTGGATGACACCCAGCTGATGTCCCAAGCATCTGAATGGAGTTCCTGTCGCTTAGCAGCCAGTTTTAGCTCCTTCAGCAGGATGCTGATGAGGCCAAGTTTACTTCTACTTCTGACTTTCTTCACCCTGTTTTTAAGGACCCAATGTCGGCCTGCTAACAACGATGAAGGTAAGTTCCACTCATTGCCTGAACTTGCGTCATCTTGATCCTTTCAAAGCTGTTTTCCCGTTCTGGTCTCAGCATTGCAAAGCAAAGTAACGGCTTGAGCTTTTAAACTTGTTCAGACTGACTTATCTTGACGCTTGCCTTGGAAAGATGTCAATTGATAAGAAACGCTTTGTTCTTAGTACAGGAATGTAATCCTAACATACTCCAGTCAAGTCTCTTCTTTGTAGCGTCAGTGTTCATTCACCACCCCCGTTTGCTTGAGTCACTGGTGAAATCTGGACCTTTTTCTCTTTTCCCCCTTGCTAGTTGAATGAATGCTTTTTTTCAGACTAAAAATTGATTCACCACCCATCTGGCCAGAGTCTCTGGCTGTTTATTGACCATCAGACTTTCCGTGCAGAATTTAGACTTGTCTGGCTGTTACGAGTTCAGCCCCGAAAAGGGGGAAGAGGCACTGAAATCAAATCCTTAAAAATGTGTTTCTTGGAAACTGTCCAGCGGTGTAATAGCTGCCTGGGTTTGTGGCTAGATGGGTTTGAATGTTTACATTCTGCACTCGGAAGTGGAGAACAGCTAAAGAATATGATAAAGTTCAGCGTTATAATTGAAGTAATTAAGCAAAAGGGTCCCTCTTGGGCGCTGGGCCCTAAAATAAACTTGGTGTGGCTGTGTTATAGTCAGCAGTGGGACAGAGGGGAGAAAATGACTCCCATCTGTAGCCCGAGGGCAGCTCCACCACGTAGCAACCCCTGCCTCTCTCCTCTTTTTGTAATGAAAAGGTATTTGTTGTCACTGAAAGAGGAGTTAACTGCCAGGGAACTATAAATTAGCTTTTTTTTTTTTTTTTTAAAAGATGCTACTTTAAACCCTTCCTTATCCTCCAGGATAAGCTTTCCGAGGAGAGTGTTTGTCTTCTTACGTGAGCTATAAATTTCCACTGGGGTGGGGGAAGTCTGATGCGTTTGCACTCCACCCTGCTCTTGATCACCAAATGGCCAGGTACTATCTCTGTGCCTCTGTGCTTCTCCTCTTGCTCCCCCACTGACTTTTTGCTTGGGAATGCTTCACTTTCCCCCGCCTCCCTGCTGGGTGACGGATGGCTTCAGCTGTCGACAAACAATCGCAGCAGAGGCATTTAGTTGCAGTCCTTTTGTCCTGGGTGTGGAAACAAAATGGTTATATGGAAATGCTTTTGTTTCATGCGTGCTTCATTGCTTGTCTCAGGGATTTTTTTTGGGTGCCGTGCTCGCATAAGAAAAGAATAAGTCATCGAACAAATTCAATTCATTGAATTGTCTCAGGGCTCACAGGGGCAGTTGGTCAGAGCACTCCAAAGGGCAAAAACAACCACTTCTATATAATGTAGATATCAGTATTGATGCAGGACATGGTTTGTCTTTTTTTCTTAAGAGTAGAAAAGATTTTTACAAAAGAAATTGAGTTTAAACATGACGGGAAAGAGAAAAGGGTTAAAGTAATACTGAAATGCTGCATTTCACTCTACATACTAAAGCTGCTGTTTTTCTCTTGCAAAAAGAAAACCCAAATTAGAGCTAATAGTAACAGAACAATGCGGCCTCGGTTTTATGATGTTTGTCTATTAAACACAAAAAGTAAGCCCTGGTGTAGCAGAGCTCATTTGAATCACACAGTGTTGTCCCAAAGTGCTAATCAATGCTGATTGTCAGCAGCTCGTTTAAGAATGAAATCCTTCCCCACCGGAGAGCTTTAAGAAAAGGCCCTCTTGAGTTTCTCTCTGCTTGTTAATGTGCTTGGTTTTTTTGTCTTCTTATTTTTTTCCTTCCTTCCACTGCTGCCTTTTATCAATCCCCTCACACACCAACCGTTGGCTCACCTTGATGTGGTCGAATCTGCAAAGGAGAATAGCCATAAACTCTGTGTGGCACTGCAGAGCCTCAACTATTCTGGCTTTCCTGTGCTCAGCCATCGCTGAAGCGAGGGCAGGAAATCCCACAAGTCATTGACACAGCATATTGCTTCCTATGTTTTAGCCGGAGAAAGTTCCTTAGACAGGCGCCGGCCCCTCATTTTTCTTGGTCTTGCATTTAAAGATTTTGTCCCTCCTTGAGCCTCTTGTTTTCTTTTTAAATATCTCCATGTCATCTTTTATACAATTAGGCTGGTTATAAATTGTGTCAGTCAGTTTTCAAATAGGGTTCACTGAACCCAAGTTGGAGCCTCCCAAGTGGGTTGTTTCCTGAAACTGGTCCTAATCCATTTTAATCCGACCACAGTAGCTGGAAGATGCGTGGAGATGAAAAGTCCACAATTCAAAGAAAGTATAGAAATCTTTGCTCTAAAAGTCACTGTATGGGGTACAAGCATGTAGCTTTTTGTAAAAATGATGCCTGTACTCTGATTTATTCAGGAAGAATGTAACTTTAGCTTTGCATGTAGCATGACAGGACTGATTATTCTCACTTATGTTGCTCTGTGTTTAGAAGGGCGTTCACAGAAGCACAAATGGTTCCCCTGTCCCTGGCTTTAAATAAAACGAATACATTTAACAGTTTTATGGGCGTTTTTATTATGTCTGCACCCAGATTAACAACTGGGATGTTGACACGCTCTTATCAGTGACATCTCCATTTAGCGAATGGACAAACCCTCCTCATTGCTCACTTTGTTTTCAAGGTAATTTCCAGTTTGGATCGCTGTGGCCCATCATGTTATAGTATGTCTGCACTAATAATTTCTGACCTACGGCTTGATTTAAAGCTGCCTGCTTAAACCTCTCATTCCACATCCTCCATTATCAGAGAACAACTCGCTAAGTTAAGACTTAACTTTGTCTTTAATATGATGGAGGGGAAAAGGGACTTGTTTTCTTTCTTTCTTTTTTTATACGAAAAACAATGATGCAAAGCCAAAATTGTTTCAGATCAAAAAGTAAATCAAAGACTTTGCTACACGCTACAAGTTGGAAAATAGCTAAATCAGTAACATTGGTTTTAGTGTTACCACCCCCATTCAGATTAACCATGCACTTTTCAAAATGGAGAAAGCTTTACCAACAGTGTGTTCATCTCAAAATGATGACCTGATTGGTGATTGTAGGATCACAGGAATATATCGTATCAAAGACTTTGTCTTTTTTCATGATAATTTATTCCTCACACATTTAGATGTGTCTGCTGTTTAACATGGCGTTGTTGAGGTGCAATGAAACCATTTTTTCCAACTTTTTCTGTAGTTGTTGAGCCGTCGGGAGGGAGGAGAGGAGCTTGTTGAGCTGACACAGATAGACTTGCCAAATGACCAGTGTTTGGTGTTGCTTTTGTCAGGCAGTATCCCACGGAGTGATTTTGTGTTTGTGTTCCCCGCCCCCCCGCGTTTCTTACCAGGTTTTGACTAAAATGTAGTTTTGTTATCTGTCAGCTGAAAGGCCTGGGAAGAAGAATGTATGTGGTCGTGCTCACACTGTGAGGTAATCTCAATATCGACGGGCTAAAACGATAACAACTGGAATGCTAATGTGACTGCAATGTGGCTCACGTGAGAAATGAATTTCCGAGTTAAGAGAGCTTTATGTAGATGGGGTCTAAGTGCCTTTTCTGCTTTCCCCACTTTGGTTTTGTTTTTGAGGAGAAAGTTGATCCTACCCCCTGGCCCCTTTTCCTGCTGGGATTAAGGGCCTGTCAGACATATGTGATCCAGGAAATACCTTTACTAGGCCCAAGTGGGGTCACCATAGCAACTGGCACTAGAACCTGCCACTGCCGGCCCGCTCTTAGTCGCTCCTGTGCACATGCTCAGTGGCTTTCTCTCCCTGCGCTCTCTTCCTCTGTATTGTTTGAGGCTCTTTGTTGGCTTGGTGGGAGGGATTAGTCAGGTTTGCTGATGTTGCCCTGAGTTCATCCTGTATAGATGCACTTCCTGTTGTCAGGGCAAAAGAAACGTTTTAGTCATGGTCTCATGTTGACGGATTGTTCACTATTGCAGTATTTGATTATCTAACTCAATTTTTGTGATGATCCTAAAAGGCTATATAGGAAAAGGGAAGAGAGGATGAATAAAATAAGATTGGACACTCCATCCCGGCTGTGAGGGACTTTAGAGAGGTTAGAACAGGAGCACCCTGTTGCTAGTTTTTCATCTACGAGATGAAATCATTTTTCTCTAGGCAATTAAGTCATTGGATGAGTATGTTTCCATGCTAAACTTCAACCATTGATTGATTACAGCATCTGAAATAATAAGCTTTTCTGTATTTCTTTCCCCAATTCCATCATTTAAAAAAGGTTTAGAAAAGCTCTCTCAGTAAAATGACCCATCTTGGAAAATGGAAATGGTAAGTCCACAAAGACTGCAAAATTGAGACATGTTGGTTTTCTTGCTTCCTCAAATTGACCCCTCAAAGCAAGAATTTCAAACAAGTTGGTCCGTGGCAACCCTTACCGTGGTAACCGGACCAACAAACACCACTGATGGACAGCATGTCAGGGTAATTGGTTTACCCTTCCTCCGAGCAGACTATGTAGTCGTTTAGATCAGCGGGCTCAGGTGTCTCTCTCAGTGACACCTCCCTTCTTTTCATTCTTCTAATTGAATTTCACCTTCCTCTCCCAAGTAGCACCATGCTCTCCTGAAAATGGGACTTTTGACTAATTTGAGATGCAATTTAATTCTGGAGAGAGGTTAGACTGGCACAGTGGGAGAAAATGAAGGAAGTGCTTGTGTGATGGGAATATTTTTGGACCACATTTTAAGACTGAAGTACTTTCTTTAATGAGTTCACAGTAAAGATGGCCATTTTGTGTGGGAGCTTTTTTTTAAAGGTTTCAGGCACTCAGCTCGATTATTTTATTAGTTTTTATGGGGTCTGGTTTTCAGTAGAAACAATCCTCTGGATGGAAATTGAGACCGAAGTCAAGACGAGAGAGGGGTCCTTTTCATGCCGCGGTCTTATTGCTGGGCCATTAGTTGTGTCTCGCCATTTTGTTTGTGTTGAACTAGGGGTCAGACGCAGAATATTAAAACTGTTCAAACATTTTTATTGCCTCTCTTCGTAGTCTCTGTGGAAACGCAGGCAGAGCAGTTTACCCTTTATCGTGGGGACCGCCTGGATTTGAGTTGCTCTGCCAAGGACTCCCTCCACGCCGTAAACTGGACCAAAGACCATGTTGCCGTTGTGGATGGAGAGCACACGCGCATTCGTAATGGCCAGCTGGAGATCGAGGCGGTAGAAGTGACTGATTCGGGCCTGTACGCCTGCACCACCTTTGGCAACCACAGCGTCTACTTCAATGTCTCAGGTAAGGTCAAAGAATGGACTCTATAGGCTGTTTCTGCTGTCTTTCTTTTGTATTCTTTTCTTAATAGTAAGCATTGTCGCCTTCACGGCATCTTCATGAAACACAAATATTTGAATTGCAAAATCTCAGGGGATTATTTAACTATTTACCCTTTATGTGTCCACCTGGGGTCATTCTGTCTGTTGTTGGAGAATTATTAACATAAACTCAGAGATCGAAGCGTAAAACGTTTTAATCGTCTGGAAAACTGCAAAGATAAGGATACGGAGTATGACATTTTTCTAATATTTATTTTTTGTCCAACAGTTGATACCATGGCATCATTAGAGGATGACGATGACGAGGAAGAGTCTTCCTCTGAGGAAACCAAGCTGTTGGGCAGCCAAAAACTGATGCGTAAGTGGTTTGATCCCTCGATTTTAGTAGTAATTGCTCATCACTGACTCACCCCATGTTAGGTCAGTGATTTTAAAGTGTTCTAATTGAATTATAGGCCTGCCACGTGTGTGTATCACCCCCTCTGAATCAGAGGATCTCTGTGTCTCGATTACAGAAGTGGTCCTTGCGGTGACTAATTGTGGTAAACCATAGATGTCCCCATCTATGTGCCTGTGGGGTTTTATGTTTTTTAGCAGGTTGCTACTGAGAGTTCAGTAGCTGCTAAGCTAAAAGCATGCAGACCACGTGTTTACTCCCAATTCATGCCACAGCGAGGTTTGGACGCCATGACTTTACATTAAACTATTTTGAATACAGCTTTTGCTAATGGAGGGACTTTTTGTTCCAGGAAATGTGACGCATTTAAAAATCATTTTTACGAACCTTTACCAGTACCCGGTTTTTCGTAAGATATGTGAATAAAACACTTCAGAAGTGTGTGATTAGGGGGTGCAACAATGATGTAATTAAGCGCGCCGGTCCGACCGAAAACAGAATGAATAAACATGATTGAAAGTCAGACAGCACAATGGAAACTGAGGCTTTGGTTCAGAAAATATAAAAAAGAATCTCTGCTCTTCGAAGGGTTCTGGTTACAGCCCTGTCTGCACTCGTAAGTCATGTTTTGTGTGAGTACATGTTTGTTTGCTGAACTTTGGCTGAACCCATTCCCGTTTGTTGCATTTACTTTTTAAGTTCCAAACATTTCCACCCGTCCCAAACCTAAAAAAGGAATAAATGGCACTGTGCACGGCTTTGGATTGGTTTCCATTCAGACGATGCTTCTGAGCAACTGAGTGAAGTTTATGAATTCAAAAAATGTTACTTATTTCTTCTTTATTTTTGTTCTTCTGTTTGTTTTGTTAGCAATGGCCCCACAGTGGGTACATCCAGAAAAAATGGAGAAAAAGCTTCATGCTGTCCCAGCCAGTAAGACTGTGAAGTTTCGATGCCAGGCCAGTGGCAACCCGACTCCCACTCTGAAATGGTACAAGAATGGCAAGGAGTTCAAGAGAGACCAGCGCATCGGAGGCTTTAAGGTACAGAACCAAATGTTTTGTCGTGAATTTGTAAAAAATTAAATCGCTCAAGTTGGTGCGTGAAGATTCACCGGTGAGCTCATCTGCACATTAGATCACTGCCCCCTCCCCTGGAGGAGGTAATGCCCTCCACAGTGTGAAAGTGTGGGGCGAGTTTCAGAACTGACTTGAGACACAATGAGAGTTGAAACCTTATGCTACAAACATGAATGCTGTGCCATAGTTTTACCTCCAGGTGGGCAATCTAAGCCATCCGTTTGGATGAAGAATAGCACTGGATGTCCTCATTCCGGGTATCGGTAGTCGTCTCCTCTGTAATAACATCCTGACAAGTTTACCGTGATACCTGCTGTTTGTCCCGGCAGCGTGATTTTTCTTTCTGTCAACATCTTTTTGTTTGCTAACTATCTCGCTTTAAACGTGAGAGGGTCTGCTGACAAACCCAAGAAATTAGGTTTGAAAGATAGTCTCCATATTTACTTAACAGGTGCGGCATGTGAGGTTGTGAACCGGATCTCTTGTCAAATCTTTTTGCTCTTTCCTATACTCCTCTGTAACTGGCCTTATTTTTGAGGGAGATTCTCATAACCCGGACACTTAGAAAAAAAAAAAAGAAGTTGCAGTTTCCTTTTGGGAGTCTCGTGGCTTTAATCGTTCCGAGTCTCAAAAACAGTCTTCTCCTTTCTCTACATCTGCTCGTCCCATCAAGGTGTTGGCTAATCCAAACCTGTGTCGTGCTTCCCCGGTCCTCTCTCTCCCCAGCTGGGACACATTTAGGAGTTTCCTCTCAGCTGCCTGCTGCTCATGTGTGTCCTAAACCCTCCACCTAGTGCAGCCGCACAGTTAACCATCTGGCTATGGTTTTTTTTTTTTAAGCGTTTTTTTTCCCCCCAAATCTTTTCAGTCGAGGTGCAAAGGTCTGCCTCAGCGGCTGGGGACGTCTCTCATGCCTCCCACTCCTTTTCTTTTATGGCGGGACTCCTATTGTTCGTATCGTCAGCATGGCGACGTGCAGGAGGGTTGCAGTAATGTGGACCACATGTGTATGAAGCCAAGCATAACACATCTGGCAGCAGGCAGCTGGACTCCCTCATCACATTTTAGCTAAATGAGGGAGACTGTATGGCTCAGTCTGTGTATATCCATGTTTGATGTTGCCATTGCCTTAGAGGTTCGTTGGCTAATCACACACCAGCGGTCTTGGCAGATTTATGGAAGAAAAATTATAACATGTCTCGGAAAAAAAAGAACCAGACATCAGTTGGAGCTCATAAGACAGGTTGGGGCAAATTCATAAAAAACATGTGCCCATTTCATGTGGTCTTTGTTTGGTAGGAAAAGACCTGCTGTTTAAAACTTTGGTTACTGTCACAGTAAGGAGGAAATGAGTTCACTACAATAAACATCACTCTCCACATTGGCTCTGTTTTTAATGTACACAGAATTTGTTTCCTTATAATCCTATTCTGAGAAAGCAAATAGTAGCTGGTTGTTAAGCTGAAATGGTCAACTGACTTTACCCTTATTCATAGTAATAAAATAAGAAAGAAACCTGAACACTTCTGTAATTTAACCCCTTTGGATTGAGCGTCCATAATCAACGATTCCCATAACATCTTCCTCACAGAAATCAGTTTTTTCCTCTCCTCTCTCATGTAGGTGCGGGACCATGTGTGGACCATCATCATGGAATCCGTAGTGCCCTCTGATAAGGGAAACTATACCTGCGTGGTGGAAAACCAATACGGCAGCATCAATCACACCTACCAGCTGGATGTAGTCGGTAAGTGCTCACTTTGATTGCCACAGTGGTTTATTTCCCAGTTTTCTAAAACATCAAAGATCAGTTTCCCTGAAGAATCTGTTGAATAGGATATTCCAGCTCAGTAAATGGTCAGAAATGTTTAAATCACACGTTCTGATGAATTACTCATGTGTTTACTTGTTTAGTGAGTGATAGATCCATGTAAAAGCGAGCAGTAATCACTCCCCGTGGGCCTGCCCTATGACTGGCCCTTACGCCATTGGTCTTATAAATCACAAGCCCACTTCCTCCTTAGCTGTCCTCTGGGCTCTGCCCTGTCTCAATAGACATAGTCTGATAAGCACAGAGATTGCTTCAGTATGGAGGAAGCCCTGCGCCACAGCCGACATCCTTCCACATACTTGGCTGGTAACTTTTAGTTGTGAGCATTATCTTTTTCCCTGATAAAATAACACACGGCGTGTAGCTGAGGAAAGAACTGGAACTTTAAAACTGTAGAAACCATACAGTATGCTATCCTTCAGTGAGCTGTCAGCCATCAGCCCCGGCTGTTTCCAACAGCAAAGCCCCCGCATGGGGTTTTATTTGGCCTGTGTTTGACATTCAGTCAGCCGTATGTACTTCTCAAATATTGCACATTTGTTTGTCTTAAATGAAGTGTCTGCTTCACTGCTAACCAAACATTTTTACTGAAATTTCGGTGTGTTGCAGAACGCTCTCCACACAGGCCCATCCTGCAGGCGGGCTTACCAGCCAACCGTACGGTGGTGGTAGGCAGCGACGTGGAGTTTGAATGCAAGGTGTTCAGTGACCCTCAGCCGCACATTCAGTGGCTAAAACATATCAAAGTCAACGGGACCAGCATTGGACCCAATGGCTCCCCTTATGTCCGCGTACTCAAGGTAGGAGCCTGGCCTGTCCAGTCCTTTTTGGATTTTTAGAAAAAATGTTCTGCAGTGCTGCAGAGAAACACCAGATTTTGATATAGAGCAGTTTGTATGTATTTTCCTTAATTGCCCTTGTTTATTTAAACAATTTATTCAGCTAAACATCCTGCCTGACAAAGGAGTGGGTTGGGGTTCTTTTGCCTTTCTAACTGCTGTACAAGCCCATCAAAGTTTCTGTGTCATCTGTTGTATTTCTTTTCCAGTGCTGTACATGACTTGTTTTTATTTCTAGCATTCGGGGGTGAATAGCTCGGATGCTCAGGTGCTTACCCTCAACAATGTGACTGAGGAGGAAAGCGGAGAGTATATATGTAAAGTGTCCAATTATATAGGAGAGGCCAATCAGTCAGCCTGGCTGACAGTCACCAGATATGATCCCACAGGTAACCACCACGCAGCAGTACACGGACGGCACATTGGAGGGGCTTCTGGGACCACCTGGAAAAACTAGGGTCTTATAAGTGGAGACATCCTCAGCTGTTTCTCTCCTCCCTCCTTCTCTTTCCCTCCCTCTCTCCTCAGCACTCCTGACTGTAAATGACGCTATGGAAAATTCCCAGCAGAACAGTTGAAAGTGTTTTGTTTTAAGTTGGACCTGCTCTCATTCCTGCCCCGTGCCTTTGCCGTGCCCTCCTAATAAGGGCCTCTCTTGCCATCTTCTATTACTCTCGCTCCCTTGCCCCTCAAAGTCCGCTCCCCTCTACATGGCTCAGAAACTCTGCCTCCCCCCCTCTGCTGCCATCCTCTCCTTATCTATGTTTCACATGCCTCCTGCTGTTTGTGTAATGCCGGCAGAGTTGGTGAGAGTAGGAAGTTCTGTTCTGCTGTGGATTTTTCCATGCCCATCTCTTGCATGTAGAGATGAGACCGAGGTATTTTACATGGTGATGGTGTGACCCAGTGAGCAGTTCAGCAGTACAGACTCACCTGATCGTCTTTTCCACTAACAGATACTGGAGGGCTCTTCCTGACAGAGTCCTCTGTGGGGCTCTTGGTGTTACATTTTGGGCATATGATGATGGATTGGGGAGGAGAATGCTCCTCAGTCCTCTTTCTCTTCAGAATCCTCCACTCATGGTTCCCTTTCCCTCTTTGGCCTCTTGTTGGGTCTACTTCCTTTGTCATTTTCTAGACCGCTGGCCTTAACACCACGGACAAGGAAATGGAAGTCCTTCAACTGAGAAATGTGTCTTTTGATGACGCTGGGAAGTATACGTGCTTGGCGGGCAATTCTATCGGGTTCTCTCATCACTCTGCATGGTTGACCGTTTTGGAAGGTATCAGTGGTTCTGTCTCTCTCTTACACTTTCATTTCTTCTCTTTTGGTTCAACCTACGCCTGGCTTTCCATGTTCACGTTTTTCCAGGAAACGGTCTTCTCTGACTGCTGTTTCAGTGAAAAATGTGAGAGGAAGCCAAGGCACGTTAGAGGCACTAAAACTTCCCCTGTCTCTGAGCTCAGCATGGCTCCTGCTCCATCTTAACTCTCAAGATGGGGGAGAGGACTAGGCATGCTCTGCTGTTTCTGCAATTAAATCAGCAAATGCCAAACAGGCCAGAGAACTTTCCGGGGTTTTGGGTATTTTAAAAGAAACGTATCAGCAAGAAGTGAATTTAATGGCCTCAGTCAGGTAGAACTGCATTTTATTGAGGGCTTGTTTGGCAGCTCTGATCAGATTTCACTTTGAACTGTCTATTCCTTTCACCTCTTTAAATGATGTTTGCATTTGACTCGGTGTTAAGCTGATTTTCTTTGACAAGTGCTACAAATGACATGTATTGCTGATGTCATTTCCTGCTGTGAGCACAGTGGCCGCCTTTGATAATTGGCTCTCTGTAGAGCATGTGTCTCATTCCTGTGGATGTTGGAATGGGCATTTCTCCAATTATCAAGGTGCTTGTCAGTCAGCCTTTTTGCACAAGCGTAAGCCACTTGTGTTGCTGGTGTTGGTTGGAGGTGTAATGGGGTCCTGCAGTTTAGATGCAATGGTTTGGGAGGCATCTTTTCAAACAAAGAACACTTTTTGTGCCTGTAAAATGCTCTTTCATAAGGCTACAAGCTGAATTGACACATTCTTTAGTGTTTGAAAAGCTACCGCAACTTATTACATTTAAAAATAAAACATTTATAGAAAACATAACAGTTAAACGACAACACTTTTCTGAATTTTTATCGACCTCTTGGAGAATAACTGTCTTAGCTGTTTGGACTTTTAACAAAGGCATTGTTGTTTTTTTTCTGTTTGCTTTTATATGAAAAAAAGAAGAAAAAAAACACAATTTACATTTAAATGAAACCGTTTTTACTTTAATTCTCTAAGAAAATATGTCTGACATTTAGTTTCTAAGAATACAACTGCCTCCTAAACCAAAGTATGTACAGACCTTTTTTCTTGCTTTTTGGAAATGCAGATCCATTACACCCCAACTGCTGATATGAATAAATGTTGGTGTTTTCATTTAGTGGGAGGAAATAAACAAGATCTAATTTAGAGCAATTTGGTAGTATTTTTTACCATAAGCACATAAAAATGTTACAACAAAGGCAGCATTAAAAGTACACAACATTCTGAAAAGATATGGTACGATCAGATCACTGATCTGCTCTCTGATGTGTGTCTTTCCCATTAAGTCGTATAGAGGATCTGAATTCAAAACACAGTTTTAAAATCTTGATTTTCTTTGTACAAGTCAGATCAATGGTGCTTTCAGCTATGTTTATATTACAGTTATCTGAGTTAATTTATGATGGGGCTATTTTGGGTATATTTGGGAGAATATAATTAGTTTTGGCTGCAGAGAGCTTGGTTTGTTTTGTGTACTTGGTTGTGAACAATGAGTTAATCCATGTCAGCTGACCCCACCCTCCCTGCCCCCGTCCCTCCGTCCCTCCTCTAGCGATCACCCATTACCCCACGGCCAGCCACACCTACTTGGAGGTGGTCATCTACTGCGTGGGCTTCTTTTTCATCGCCGTAATGATTGCCATCGTAATTATCGTCAAGATTCGCACCTCCTCAAAGAAGAGTGACTTCAACAGCCAGCTGGCCGTCCACAAGCTGGCCAAAAGCATCCCTCTGCGCAGACAGGTAACAGAAAGTAGATAGGGGGTTTGGAAAACTTACACTTTCCCATCTTTTCTGTCTCTAAAGCTTTTCAAGTTGTCTGGCTTACCTAGCCCATATGCATGTTTCTACATAACCATCTTCTACTGCTTTTAATAAACTGAATGCGTTCACAGAGCTTTCAGCTTATGGTAGAAGGTCTTTTATTTAAGGTAAGTATGAGGATGTGAGGAAGGCTAACACTAAATCACTGTGGTGTTTGAACGCAGCCCTTCAGAGGAGCTGCTTCGGCCGTGGTTTTACATTTCTTTGGGGCTCTGTTGGCTACATAAACTCCAGAAATCTGTGTTTGAACCACGATGAGAAGAGTAATGTCCTTGTTTCTGACTTTAGGTGTCAGTGGACTCGAGCTCCTCCATCCATTCTGGAGTGATGCTGGTCCGTCCCTCCCGCCTCTCCTCTAGTGGCTCTCCCATGCTGGCAGGAGTGTCCGAGTATGAACTGCCCCAGGATCCCCGCTGGGAGCTCCCCAGAGACAAGTATGTCTGAAAGCTGCTCATGAGACTGACTGGTGACTGAAATGGTCACTTTAAGTCATGAAATGGCTGCACAACCCAAGAATTCTCACTCTTTCTAATGTAGTGTGTTTTAGGACCAAAAGCCAAAGACCCGAGTTGAGTTTTGACTTTCCTTACTGATTCTCTCCCTCAGACTTGTTCTCGGGAAGCCGCTGGGTGAGGGCTGCTTCGGTCAGGTGGTGATGGGGGAGGCACTGGGTATGGACAAGGAAAAGCCAAATCGTGTTACCAAGGTTGCAGTGAAAATGTTGAAGTGTGAGTAACCTTTCTTTCTAAAATCTCTCTATCCTGCAGACTTGATTCCATTGATGGCAAAACTGAGATTTTTCTGGCCTAAGTTTTATTATGCATGTTGTGCTGAAGGAAGAGTTTTTTTTTGTTTTTTTTTAGTGTACAGGAAGGGTTTTAAATGCGTCAGGGAGAGGGGGAACAACTTCAAACTGGAATGAACAAATTCTACCAGACATCTGCTGTTGGATCCCAGCCATTGTGAAAATGAGAGAGCCGAGTAAAAATTTATGAGAACCCTTGACATCTCATATAAAACATTGTTCATTAAAGTGCACAAGGGAGTAAAGACAGAGGGAGAGTAGCATTTATTGTCTTGTACCGTTTGAGCCTTTCCAAAGGAAGCATCCAACAAACACTGTAACAAACGCTAAACTTATTACCCTAATATAAATCATCCCTCTCTCTTTTCCAGCTGATGCCACAGAGAAAGACCTGTCAGACCTGATTTCAGAGATGGAGATGATGAAGATCATTGGGAAGCACAAGAACATCATTAATCTGCTGGGAGCCTGCACACAGGATGGTAGGATCAGACAGACGGGGGCCTGCTTTTGACCTGCTCTGGTCTTCCTCCTCCAGCGCGCACACAGACAAACACACACACACACACACACACACACACACACACACACTGCTGCCCTTGAGACAAGAGTTCTGCTGTGAGGCTCACTTTTAGGGAAGTGTGGGAAAGCATGCATAAATGATTCCGACACCAGCTTCCGAGCTCACAGCTTGAATCGACCATAGCTGCTGTCATTCCTGTGAAAGCACTCGGACTGAAAGAGCTAAAGAAAACTGACCTCTAATGACTCCACGGTGTACATCCCAGAGATTTTAGACTCTGCAGAGCAGATAGCGTTCTTTTACTTAACTCCATCGGGAGTGCCGGGCCGTAAGGTCGGATGATCTTTTTATTAAACGTAAACTCGCAACAGTGGCATGAATAATGAGCTCATGCTCTGAACAATTGTCATGTGTCCTAATGTTTCTCTCCTCATTTTCAGGTCCTCTCTATGTGATAGTCGAATATGCGTCCAAGGGCAACTTACGGGAGTACTTGCGAGCTCGCCGTCCACCAGGCATGGAGTACTGCTACAACCCAGACCAGGCTCCTGAGGAGAACATGTCCATCAAGGACCTGGTGTCCTGCGCTTACCAAGTGGCTCGAGGCATGGAGTATTTGGCTTCCAAAAAGGTATCGAAAACAAGCAGCTCTCACCCCTTGCGAAACAGATTTCCAGACTGTGTGGAAATTGTGACGTCAGGTTCTCATAAGTTTTTTTTATTTTTATTTTTTTCTTGTTTCAGTGCATCCACAGAGACCTCGCTGCTCGCAATGTTTTGGTAACCGAGGACAATGTGATGAAAATCGCTGACTTCGGCCTTGCCAGAGACATCCACCACATTGATTACTATAAGAAGACCACCAATGTGAGCATTTCTCTTTTCTCCATTTTTATGCTTTTCATTGAATGACAGCATAAAAACATTTAGACTTTTGGATGAACAAAAAAAAAAAATAAAGTTGGCATGGCTATTTCTTTTTAATAACAAATAGTAATTTTCACTTTGACACTTAGTGTAGTTTGTTTTAGGATTTTGAGAAACGGAGGACTTATTTCTCCCTTACGTGTAAAATGAGCTCCTATGAGCAGAACACGGCTAAACCTGCATCTCTTTTTTTTGCTTACCTGTTTAAAATCTGATTGTTTTTACCTGGATGCCTTTAGAAGAGGAAGGAGAGGGTGAACTAAAAGCTGCCAGGGCTCGAGAGTTTAGTTTGGACAAGTTTTTTTTTTTTTTTTAAATAGTAAATCAGGTAGATTCCGAGCATACTTACACCAGCAAAGTGATGGATAGATAGGTGTCTGAGATTATATTGCCAAACTCTAAATCTGCCGCTGGGTGTTTATTTCAGACCCAGGAAGAACTTAACTCAGAAGTGGAATTTTGATGCTAACTTTCATGCCTTCCTCACAGGGTCGTTTACCAGTCAAGTGGATGGCTCCTGAGGCTCTGTTTGACCGGATATACACACACCAAAGTGATGTGTGAGTATCACATGCCTCTACTTTTCCAGTCCAACCTCAACGAGATGTGTCAGAAAGTCTAGATGGTCAGTGCTTTCTTCTTTCGCCTTAAGCTGGTCATTCGGAGTCCTGCTTTGGGAGATCTTCACCCTCGGAGGCTCTCCATATCCGGGAGTTCCAGTGGAGGAGCTGTTCAAGCTGCTGAAGGAAGGCCACCGCATGGACAAGCCCTCCACGTGCACTCACGAGCTGTAAGGGAAAAAAGTCACAGAATTATTAATTCTAATTATTATTCCTCCAGATAATTCATATACATTTTCTCTGTATAGTGAAAGATATGTTCTTTGCCCATGTGTTTGTATACCTGAAAAACTCTGTTTACTAAGCTACGTAATTACATCGTAATGGGCAATAAAATTAGCTCCAGCTGGAGCATATATATATATTTTTTTTATTTATTTATTTTTTTATTTATTTATTTATTTTGTACATTTCCCAGAAGAATGAAACGTTTGCTGAAGAGACCTGATGATGATGATTTGGGGACTGTTTTTTTTTAATTCTCATTATCTCTGCAGGTACATGATGATGAGGGACTGCTGGCATGCGGTGCCCTCTCACAGACCCACGTTCAAACAGCTAGTGGAGGACCTGGACCGCTGTCTGGCCATGACCTCCAACCAGGTCAGTCCGCCTCCACTCAGACAGGAGGGTGCGGCAGAATTTTAAGGTGGAAGTGATCTTATTTTTCTTTTTCGGTCTGTTTCTTGCGGTTTTAGGAGTATTTGGAGCTCTCAGTTCCTCTGGACCAATACTCCCCCAGCTACCCGGACACCCGGAGCTCCACCTGCTCCTCCGGCGAGGACTCGGTTTTCTCTCACGACGCTGGAGCCGAGGAGCCCTGCCTGCCAAAGTTCCCCCCTCACTCCAATGGGGCAGCCATCAAGAAACGCTGATACCTCGTCTCCTTCCAGACAAACGTTGACTTTTTTTTTTTTTTCCTCTGCTCCCTGCCTCATGGGGTTGGACTCCTCCCCACGTTCCCAGAGATTAAGCTAAACAAGCGCTGGTGCTCTGTGAGAGACGGGTTTGGAGAGGCTGTGTGGAAGGCGCCGGGTCACACGGACTGCAGACGGCAGCTGGTTCTTGGGGCACTTGGTACCAGGAGGAGTGGCAGTTTGCCACAGCAGACTTAACAATTTTCCTCTTCACTTTGGGCATTTCAGTGATGAGTCAGGAGATTCTTCAGGGCGGACCGAGATTGTCGGCCTGTCATGTTTGTCTGTCCCTCCATTATCATTTCATCAGAGGTGGAAGACGTGCCTCTGCTATTTGGACCAAATCCTAAGAGAAAACACTAACTGGGGACCAGCGGCATCGTGGTCCACTGCATTATTCATTCACTTCTTGTAAATACAGTTAGAAAATTATAAATATGAATATATATTTACACTGTACTCTTATTTTTATTACCATAATTGATTTATTGTCTTTTGTACAAGGATGCTATCGTTTGATCCCTTTTCTAATATACCGTAGTCCTTGGGGAGTTGTTACATGAGGGTATCCAGAGAATCACATGGCCAGTTTTCTTTTCCACTGTATCACCGCTTCTCCAGAATTAACTGCTTATACATGGAATGGAAAGTATATATATATATATATGCATATATATATATGTATGGGTTTATATTTTTTTAACTGTAAATGCATCTGAAGAAACAACCCTTCTAATACAGCATTTTTTTTTTTGAGGGGGGGGGGGGGGGGGGGGTTCTCTGGAAGAGGATGAATTTCTCGAATGTTTGTGTGTCCGTGTATGACTGTGTGTGTGCATGTGGAAACATGTCCTGCCTCATTCGGGCTGTTCATTTAACCTCATGGATGATCGCAGCTGTAAATATTCCTGGTTGTACATTGCGCCTGTTAAACTCCAGAGTAACACCATGCACTTCGGCTGTGCGTGGCTTTCATGTGATGGACTTCTCCTCTACTGTAAATGCTTCGACCGGGGTCGCATTCGCTGCCCGAGACCTTTCTGACGAAGGGCGGCAGAACACGTATGTCATCGTAAAAAAGGATTACATCAAATAAAATGTTATTGACAAACAAGCAAGCTGAGCTTCCAGAGTTTGACTCCATAAACCAGTCTATGAATTTAAAGATTTCCATGTTTGTGATGGTAAATTATGTTTACAGAGACGGAGCGACGGCCACTTAAGCCTCCAGGCCTCTGACATGGGTTGCTGGGGTTTGATTAGATATGATAATGTGCCGCTGACATCAGAAGTGCTAAGAGCCACAGGCAGCAGTAAAGCTGTAATTTATGGCTGTGAATGGCTTGGCAAGTGCTGGTGCTACACTCCAATCCATCAGCTGCACCAACCTTGATTCCCATCTTGAGTTTTGGCCACTTGCCACTGGCTGATGCATCACCTGGATTGCAGTCTCTATGCAACAGGCTAAAATCAGCTGCACAGCCAAACTCACCCTGGAGCCTTTTGAAAAGTGTCCTACGGACAGCGTAGGTCGGTGCAGTCACATCCCACCACATGCTGTTACACAGTCAAGCTGATGAACGGTTTACTTGCCATCTATGGAACATTGAAAAGGGGAAAAGAAATACAATCGTATGCTCGACCGGTCACGCTATTGGCTTTAGAGGCCTGCCCCAATGTGGTCGCTTTCATATTTCAACGCACGCTGCTGGGGTTTAAAGAGGGGTGATGTCATTGGTTTTGGGACAAAATATCCCTCACTCCTGGAAACCAGGACCAATAAAGCATCGTCTGTATGCTGTGGCTGAGGTGACGATGAAGAGCTTTATTTAAGAATAGAAAGAACAGGTGAGACCTTGCTTTATGACGGGCTAATGGCGCCGAGGTGCCATTAGGGAGAGGGTGTTATCACTTCAGACAGATGGCACAGGAAGAGTTCGGGAGAGCAAAGTTCATCATCAGTGCTGCGGTGTAGAGAAGGTTTAGCAGAGAGTTATGATTGATGATCCCGGCCTGCATGTCTGTTTTCTGCTCCACACAGGGTGGTGTTTCAACGGAGGAATGCCACAGTGTCTAATTAAGAGGTTTCTAAACACAGAGCTGAGAGAGAAAGGGGGTATTAAGTCATGTCTTTTTTAAGAGAGAAGATATCTGATGAGTGACTGGGGAATGCAAAACATGGCCTAACCCATAAGCTCTGACTCTCCAACTGAAAAAAAGCCAATTACTGCATCTGCGTTCATGGTCTAGACAATTACAAAATGATGGACAGGAAATTGAAACTGCACAGATTATTACTAAAGCCACAGAGGAAATACTTTCAAATAATATTGTAGCTCTAATTTATCTTAAATTTTAGTACAGGGTGTCATTGACTGTATTGTTTATTTAAGAAACAACAGGGAAGATGACTATCTCTTAGGCAACATGGCTGCCATCTTGAAAGCTGCCATGTTGGATTAGGGGAAAGGGTTTCCAATAGGAAGTCGGTTATGTAGCTTATCAAAGAATAGAATTTACTGCAGCATTCAGTTGAACCAATCAGTTTTGCAATATCAATTATCAATATCTCTGTTTGATATGCCTACATGAGCATCTGCCAATTGGAAAAACTTGCCCATGATTCAAGATGGAGGCCATGTTCTGGACACAGTGTAAAAGACAGACCCCTGCTCATGACTCTCTGAGGTGTTCAGATATGACAACTTCCCTTTATTTTTTTTAAATAAAGAGGTATCCTGTGACTTTTGACTCACCCTGTACATGTTTCAATTAATTTAGATTTTTCTAAAGGTAATGATCATGCTACTTTTTCAGTTAACATAAACATTCACAATGACAGATTTCCCTCTGAAAACCTGAACTTATCACATGTGGAAAAAGCAAAGAAGCACTTTGAAAAAAGGAAGGAGAAGATCATGAACCTCATGTGTGTTCCATTGCACGCCTGTTAGAGGAAGTGTTTTGTGTTCCTGTTTACCAGACACGGTTTTATTTATTCCAGTTAGGGATTATTGCCTGCAGGACATGTAAGACCCCTATCTTCTCCATTAATCCCTGCTGTTTGCCTCAGGTCGGCCGTTCCAGATGACCTGCCCTTCAGGGCTCTGCCAACCCTTTAGAGGAGGCACGTCATCAATCAGGGATCATTGCTGAGCTTCATCCAGTTAGGGGAGAGGCTGCGGGGAGGATGACGCTGGTGGTGATGATGGTACCGCTGGAGCGATGACATCACCTTGTTGTTGTGCACCTTTGTTAACTGATCATTTATTAGATGGAAAGAGTGGCACTGGGGGTCTTTCAGTGCACATGGGGGGGAAAAAATGGCCGGTGTCCATGTAATAAGTGAAGGAGATGTGCCTCTCGTCCTGACGTTCCTCACTTGTGCCAAGTACATAAAAAAAAAAGAGTGAGCTCAGACGGTTCAGACATTAAGGGTGAGGGTAACCGCAGCAGACAGGCCCAGCTGCAGTGCGCCGCAGATTGTTGATTTCAAAACAGAGCTGGAATTTTAATTTTCAGTTGTTTGCTCCCTCTGACGGGCTCCCCCTCCCTCATTAAGGGAAGTTAGGATGATGCACAGCTGTTTTGGGTCTATGTGTGGCCTCGGCGGTTTTGGCTGCAGTCTGCGTTTTTTTTTGTTTGTTGTACAACTAAATATCAAATCCTCTCTTAAGATCTGGGTATTTTTCCTTGGAATCGGAAAGTGCTGAGGCTTGCTTTGACCACATGAGGACGGGGGAGGCCAGCTGGAGGCCGCTGGCGTCCCGTCCTCGACTCTGCAGAGCGTCCAGGCCGCTGTTTGCGAGAGCTGTCCGTATGACAGGTCCCTGGTGCCCCCGGCTGCTCTGTGGGACTGACATGACAGAAAGGGTGAGCCCGGGGCACGCCCTGTCATTCACCACTGCCTTTCTCTGCATCTCTTAAAAAAAACATAAGCAAATAAGCTCATGGGGAAGGATCCCTTCCACTAACAGTAGCATTTTAGACTACAGCCTGCAACACTGACTGTAATTATCTTTTACTTACAAGGTATCATTAAAAAAATTAAAGTTCAGGGGAAGGAAGAACAAAGATCGTAAACAACCAGCGTATAAAGGCGGAATATGCGAATGGCTGTGTTTATAGCCAGCCACTGCAGTTTGTAAAATACAGTTGACTTATCTTCACCTTCCTCTTTGAGAAGTTCCTAAAACGAAATGAAAACTATTAGCGACAACTCCAAAAAAAAGGGAAAAAAAAGAAATCATGTCCCAACTTCTTCCACAGAGATTGTGTGTGTAAGTAGCTAGCCATGGTTAGTGTGAACACCTCTGTAGAAGAAGAAGTCAGCATTCGGTTGTGAGTCAAGATGGCACAGAGGAGAGAAAAGGATTATTCACAAGTGAGTGGAAAATATACAGGAGAGTTGTCAATCTTCACAGGAGGCTTCCCAAGTACGCTCAAAGTCCAGCTAGAAATAGCCCAAAGGCATGTTTGGGACTCTTCAGGAAGAAAAAAAAAGGATGCCAGAAGAGGGCCCCATCTCTGACAGTAAGGATGGCAAATGTATCTCTGAGGGTTAGGGTTAGGGTTAGGGTTAGTTACCACAAGACTGGATCAGTTTTCTTTGGACGGAGGAGACCACATTGGAGATACTTTGTCTGAACAAATCAAAGATTTGAAGAGAACAGAATGCTGCAAATCAGCACAAATACCTCAAATTAAACTGTTATGCATGGCGGAGGGGGCTGATGGTTTGGGCTTGTTTCACGGCTTAAAGGCTGGATATTATGCAAACAAATCATAATTAACTGAAGCAAGACTGAAAATATGTGTGATTCAAATGTTCTCCACAACAGTCTGTGAAACTGCTGACATCCTGACGAAAACGACTGCCTACGCTTCCTGCTGATGACGGTAGTTCAAAATGCACCTGAATCATGCAGTGAGCTTAGTTTTCCAAACCTTGTATGATAAGTAACGTAGTGGTCTATCATCGTTTTGTAATCTTAAAATTAAGGACTGAAAATAAGGAGTGACAGCACCTTTTGACCTTTCTGTGAATCTTAGTCAAACACGCTGTTGCTGCTTTAATTCGAGGGAACCTGAACAATAACCTCATCCAGAGCAGAGCTGAGAAGGAAAAACATCCACTAAGTTAGTTACAGTAGGATGAGAAGAGGGAGAATTATCCCATCTGTGAAACATGTTTTGACGGCGTGGTAGTTTGATTCTGTTCCGCTTCATCTGGGCCAGAACCGGGTCATGAATTGCCTTAATTGATGAGACAATGAATCCTGAGGACTCTAAATGAGTTTTTGGTCCCGTTTGTACATGTTAAAGGCAAAAGTTTCAACAGTACGGCAGTCATGAGTGGTGGAGGGACTATTGATGGTGTCTGGAAGCGTGGGTGTGGTCGGGGGGAGAGGGGATGGGTGAGGGTGTTTGGTGTTAAACTAGCGGGGGGGTAGGCAGAGGGTTTCTGGTAGTGCTGTCGGCCTGACAGGTGTGCGCTGGCGTTCATACAAAAACTGACGCCCGCAGGCACGGCCCCGCCTCTTTCCCACCAGATCGACTTTCTTCCGCGCAGGAATGAGACACAGACACCTCCTCCAGGCTGGGACATATAATCTGGGCCTGTCAGGGCCTTTATCAAACAGGATGGACTGGTGTGCCGGGCCTTTCTCCGCCGTCCCCACAGGCACCGGGATACCTGCACACGCATTCCTCCGACACATCCCCGTCCCAGGAGGCGTATCGCTTGTCTTTTTATGGCAGCTCAGCTTGGCGGGTGGGGGGGGGGGGAAAGCCGGGGGTACAGTTGCTCCTCTGTATTGTGCTGACTGAAACTAAGAAAAACATCGCGCCCGTTGCTTTGGAGGACTCTCCTGATCCCCTGAGTCTTAAAAATTGTTGATCAACAGAAAAGCCCTTTTTTGCAGAGACACTGACAATATGGCATCCTGAACTAGTGCCACTCCCCCACCCCCCCCCATCCCACCCCTGAAGACACTGTAGAGCGACGGAAGGAGCAGCCTTGGCCATCAAAGTGACCATCTGAGGGAGAGGGTATGAATCAAAGCGGCATGTCGTCGTGCGCAGTACTCTAATCATATCACTTGCCGCTGAGCCATATGTCTTTGTACTCTCTTTAATTGAATTGAACCAGGGATGAGATTGGCTGGCATACCTTCCCCTGCCTGAGCCACATTTAGTGATAGGTGGATGGAACCAGAGCAGTTTTCTTGGCACAGCGTAGCATCAAATCCTGAAGGTTTCCTGCTGCCTGCCTTTGAGTCTCTCAATCCCATTTGGGAACCGTCATTACTGTCACTGTCCAAATTCAAATTAGAATAAAAAAATTACCGAATCTTTTTGGCATGTCTCCAACTATCTACTTGCTTGTTGAAGACAGCATCATCCGACATGATAGATGGATTCTCAGCGAGGTGGCAAACATTCCCCCTTATTGAATTGGTGGGCACATGTGAGAGCTGGAGATGATCCTGACTCACCGGCTCTGATCCCAGCTCGTGCTCTGACTCTGCCAACTGGTTTACTCAAATTTACTGGCAAATGTGCTCCCAAAGCCACACAGTGATTCAGTCACTGTGGACCAGTGACCCCGGTCACCCATGTTCAACTTCACTTTGTGTAAGGAATTGCAAAAAGACGCCTCCAGCTGTACTGTATCTGAAGGTACAGACGCAGACACGTGTGTGCACATGTCTCAGCACAGTTGAAATGATCACCTCAGAGGATTTTGGAATTTCCCCTGAAACGAACCACGGTGAAACAAATCGAATCATTCTCCTTCTTTAGTTTCTTTTAAGACAATATTTTTTTATAGCTTCATGTGCATCAGGAAGGCCAAACCGTGAAAGGCAAGCAGAAACAGAAACAGACTGACAGAAAAGGTCTTTTCAGGCTGCTTGGCCTCCAATGGAATCGGGGATGTGGGTTTGGAGCTGAGAACAGAGACTCTGTTATATGTTACTGTGACGTAAAACGCCTAAACAGGGATCGTTCCCACTGGGGCAGTCCGGCTGCTGAGGAGGTAGAAAAAGACTTAAAGAGCACAGTGTACCTTCCAGACTGCAGGAGACCCGGATGAGGAGAAGCGGACAGGAAAGCAGGAAATATTTGATGGCTAAATATTGCCAATTGCTCCTTCTAATGTTTAGCTCTGGGATGGAGTGGTAGCTTGGCTGAACTTTCTGATATTCCTCACAGTTTAAGATGCTGCACTGTTTGTCCTCGGTGTGTTGTACCGAAAAAGGTTTGGAACGGAACATATTTCCTTTTAAGTGACTCTAACTGAATAAAATGATATGAAGAATATGATGTTCAGAATAAACTGATTAATAAACAAACTAAAATGTTTCAGAAAACAAAGAGGAATGATTATTTGGAGTCCATACCATCATCCTGTTTAATCACGATCATGTTTATGTATCTGAAAGCCATCCATTTGTCCACTGACACCTCAGTGGACAAATGGATGGCAGAAATGGCCTCCGAGGAATGGTGGCTGTCAAGAAGCCATTCCTATGGATGGGAAATAGGAGAAATTTGCCAAATAGTGCAGACTCGGGGGCAACAGGTCTGATGGAGGGATGAGTCCTCCACAGAGCCCAGACATCAGTGTTACTGAATCATCTGACAGGGAACGGATCAGAAGTTAGTCAGCATCCAAAGAAGAGTGGAGAACTATTCCTGAGGCTACTCAAATAAATAATAGAACATTTTTGACTCGTGTTGAAGACTGAAGACTGATATAAAATATTAATACCTTAATATCTGAGCTAAGAATTGTTTGTTTAACTTCATACAATATATGGAAACTTTTTCAAAGTAAAGGAATACACAGCCTTCAAAGATAAGTGCTGTGTTATGCCCAAAAGGAAGCTGAGTGCTTCGCCATGGGGGCAGACTATCAGGTATGAACAGTCCAGGACTTATCATTTGGCTCTTGGCTAGAAAGCACTTCAGTCAAATTTATATTGAACGCTCTGCGTTCAATTGTCTTCAGACGTTGAATCATGCAGGCTTTGATGTCATAACCAATTAATTTTACCAAACACATTCTCCAAAACAGTATTTAAAACTGAGGCCTGTGATTTAGGGAGCCTGTTTGTGTGGAGAGAATTTACTGGGCTAATCTCAGCAGCATTTGGGATGGCTGTGCCTCGCACAGGGCATGTCGGAGTTCCCAGCTGCCGTTTCATGCTCCTCTCTCTGTGCCATGCAATTACGCTGGTTCCCACCGGAGGTTTGGATTGGGTGGAACTTTGCAGGGAGTAATCTCAGGCATTAACTGCTCCTCGCTGAGCATAACTTACATAAATCCACAGAGTTAGCACAAAAAGGCGGAGACAAGCGCAAACATGCTGCACCAGAGCACAATGGAAAACTTTGATATATAGCTGCTCCACAGGAAACTGATAACTGAATAAGACACAAAGAGACACCACCCAAATACTTGAACTGCTTCATAGTTGAGTCTGCAGTGAGGGAAGAATCCTTTCACAAACAGAAGAACCTTTAGAAGACGGAAAGCAGAGAGAAAAGCTAGCAGGTTTTACATAAAGCCCTTTTAGGCCTCCATCCATCAACAACTTTCTCTGAGAACATTTCACGTCGGTCTGTGACCGAAACAAACAACGCTTTTGGGGAGAATGTCACAATAAAACATTATATTGGTCTGTGGGGGTTTCATCTGCTTTGAAACCAGTCCAAAAACCTGTTGTTTTGAGTCAGATGTTGTGTCTCCGGGAGCAGGAAACACAGCGTGTCGTAGAGTCTCTTCGGAGCTCACAACAGAGCTGTTGTGCTGAGAAGCTGGCAATGCCTGGCACTGGCCTTTTTTTTGCTCCCTTAACAATCAAGCGCTCAAGCCTACTCTATTTCAGGAGCAGCAACGCTCTCTGGTGTCAGAAGCTGGTACTGAGAGTGACAAGGCAAGTTGTTCTCGAAGCCTTGATGATGTGAACTTTCTGTCATTTGCAATTAGTTACTTTATACTTTATATAAATCAGAATCTAATAGTCAAGTGGGATTTCTCATGTTTTTCAAAAGAGAAATACCGAAAAAAAAAACTGTGGTTGAATACAATAATCAGAATCAGAATCAGAATCAGAAATACTTTAATAATCCCAGACAGAAATGATTTTTGTTACCAACTCCAGATATACAACAGCATACACACACATATATATATATATATATATATATATATATATATATATATATATATATATATATATTTCACACAACATTCCACACAAAAATAAAAAAAAATATATACATAGGTAACTATATGTATATATACAGATCTAAAATAAGTGATAAGGAAATCAAACAGGAAAAAAATAATAATCACGTATTTAAAATAATCTATTTGTTCTCTCCCCATGTAGCTTTAACAGAGGGGACACCTACGTGCTCTTACATTTTATAGAAATTTGCATCAGTAAAGTGTTTTAAAATGCATTGGTTCCTGATGTCATGTTGTTTGTTTGTTTATTCATATATATTTCAGGAGGTTTCAGCACAACATGTTTGGTAGAAGGAATCACCTTTCACCTGTCATGGATTACAAACAAAATATGACAAAGCTGTAATAGACAACACCGACTGAGAGGCCTCTATTATATGAGGACATTCTCCCACTTTGAACAATATTTTGATCTGGTTTCCCTCGACTTAGACCAAAAACCGTAGAAGGGTCCCTCCGTCAACCCACCCATTTTCTATGCCCGGTTAGTCCAAGTAAGGTCAAGGGGTGGCTGGAGCCAAGCCCAGCTGCCACTGGGCAAGAGGCAGAGTACACCCTGTTCAGGTCATCAGTCATCCCAGGATTAATCCATAATGAGACGGAATATTCACTGGAACTCTAAATGTGATGATTATTTAAAAAATGCTTTACGGTTTAAAAAAAAAAAAGATGAAATGGGACAACAAGCTTGTGAATGTTGCTTCCCTGGATTACTGATGTTGATGCGAGAGTCTTGATGCCTTTAAAAAAAAAAAGAAAACTAAGCACTGGTTGCTGTTTAGAAACAGCTAGAATGTGAAGAGCCTCCCACACAGTTAGCGACTGAGGGAGGAATGCATGCGCACACACTTTCCCTGTATCCTTGATTCTGTCCTCGTCTGCTGTGATGACTGCAGTGGCTTGACAGGATCTGACACCTGAACGCCGTCGACAGGCAGCCTCGTTGGCGGAGAAATCTCGAAGACGCGCTGACCTGAACCGGTTTTCCATCTCTTTTTCTGTTGCTGTGACATTTCTGTTTTCTGCATGTGTAATAGTAAATAATTGATTGTCGGTGCGCCGCCTTCAGGTCCCAGTATGGAAAAAGGCAGCATCCTGCGAGTGCGTTCTGGCTGCAGCTCCTGGCAGGGACAGTGATTAAGATCCAGGGAAGCTGCAGAGCACCCACACCCACTGAAGACACACAAGGCTACCCTCACTCCCCCCTCCTCCCACCCTGCCTTTGCTTCTCACGCCGTCTCTCCCTCAGCTCTGCACTCAGCTTGAACAGAACTGCTTGGCTGGTAGGAAGCGCTGTCCATCGCCTCCCAACAAGCCACTAAGGGGAAACTTCAAGAAGCCCTCTCTCTCGCGTGGCTCCCTATTCCTCCCACGCAAGGATGCCGGAGCCTGGAAAGAAATGGACAGGGCTTCTCTGTGTGTGGGCTCTGTGTCTGTGCCTCTGGTTGCCCGGTGGATCTCTGGCCAGGAGAGCCCCCAAGGTCCCCCGCTGTCCCGCAACCTGCTCCTGCACCAAAGACAGCGCCTTCTGCGTGGACACCAAGACCATCCCCAAGAGCTTCCCCCCCGGAATCATCTCTCTGTGAGTCCACGTTTAGCGCGCGCACCCCTCCACCCACCAGAAGAGTCTTTTCGTAACCTGTGCGAAGACTCAGCAGCATGCAGGCTGGTACAGACAGCTACAACACTGATGTCACCCACCGTTATGTAATGATGCGTGAAATCCCTGCCTGTCTTTGCCTTACCAAAAGTGATTTAAGGTGTTTCCCACTAGTGATGTCTTGTTGAAATATAGCTTTTCTTGTGCAGCCTGACATTGAAGCTTATTATATTAAACACGTCCCTTTATTGTACCACGCACTAAATTTAGTTGGGGGAGTTCATTTCTGTCAGGTCCCAGAGAGAAATTCTAACATTAGATTCAATCTCTCAGGAGCCCAGCTTCTCCTCTGTGAGACTCCATCTTAAAGAGTACAGAAAGAGAAACTGTCAAAGAAAGAAGTAAAACATTTGAAAGGGACAGGTCAGGGAGAGGGCTATGAGGGGCTCCCTATCATTTGATTTCTCCTTTCTTGTATAGTTTGAACACACAGTTCAAACAGTTAAAGGAATTGAAGAAGACAGGGGGGGGGGCGATGTCCTCATTTTAAAAAATAGGAAAAGAACAAAAGACTGTAGCACTGTGTCCTAGTTTTAAAGATTCTTCAGGAAATCAAAATTGCAAAGGGACACGGGGTTCTTCAGGAAAAAAGTCGCATGACGTCATCATTTTGGAGCTTTGGTGTTGGATGGCAGGCCCCCCCACCCTGACATCAAAAGGGCCCGTCTGATGGTGTGTGTGTTGGTCTCTGTCTGCGCAGGACCATGGTGAACGCCGCCTTCACGACCATCCCAGAGGGGGCCTTCTCGCACCTGCACCTGCTGCAGTTCCTGTGAGTTACAGCTCCGACACCTCACAACCCTCAGCCGTCACTCACATTCAAACACGCTGCCGTAATCCCAGGTGTGTTTGCACACAGCACGCAGACGTCTTTTGTGTGGCGAAGACAATGAGAGGACTTGAGCTACTCTACTCCAAATGAATGGGTATTGAAAACAGTGGTGACATAGCAGTAAAAAAAAGGGTAAAGTGGCTCTGTATCAGTGTCAGTGCCAATGACTGACTCCCTTCAGCTCCGCTGCCCCGCACAAAGCCTCGTCTGTGTCCTCTGATGCAAACACGAGTGTGTGTTCATACACCAGTCCCTGTTTGTGGGTGTAAGACTGCGTGAGTTTGGGTCAATTCCAAAGACATTTATCGCAGCGTTAACGTTTGATTATATGCTCTGAATTTTAGATGCCGTGACGGAAAATGTTTGGAGATTGTTATTTAGACACAAGCTCACGTGTCTGACATGAATTCTGTGATTTGAACAGTATGTCCTCCTTCCCACAGACTCTTGAACTCAAACACATTCACCAAGATTGCTGATGATGCTTTTGCTGGTCTGTCCCACCTTCAGTACCTGTAAGTATGTCACTAACAGCAAACTTATCACAGCTTAAAAGTAACTTTTGACACAATCTACCCTCATGGCCTACAACATTCTCCCTCTCTTTTCACTTAAATTGACAATCAGGCTAATGGGGGTTCCAATATAAACATACTGCACAACATCAGACATCCGTAAATCCATTTGTTTTCAGAGCTCACTGTAGGTTTAGCCTTTAAAACTGTACTCTGAGCGTCACACAGGGCTCCATTAAATCAAAGTCTTGGGCCACTTCACTGTCCTCTCTTCAGCTTTGGGAATGATTCATCACAGAGAGTTTGTGGCGTGGGTGAATTTATCCTGCCCTCTAGAATTTGAAAGGGGAACTGTCCAGCACGGCAACGAACGCCAGGAGCAAAACACAAAAATAAATCCTTCTCTGACAGCAAGCACTTTCCCCTCTGCAGTGTGAAAGAGCTGAACACGCCGTCCAATGAATTGATGTGCTTTGGCGAGTAGTTGGCCGATGGCGGGGAGAGTGCGGCTCTCTGTGCGGCCCTGCCTCAGCCTGCTGGCAGCCTGGCTTTAGCTGCAGCACAGCCAGCAGGCCTCCGCCTCACCGCCACCATCCCCGCTACCCACTGCGAACCTTAATAAACTCATATTTTCATTTCCAGCCACCTCCGGAGAGGGCACATATGCCGTGTGGCCTCATTTGCAAATAGACAAAACACACACTGCACCAGATATTTCCATCTGATGACTTTATTTTAGTCAAGAACAGTGGTTTTACTTGTTCGAGCTACAGTTCAAACGCAGTTGCTGATAGTACAGAATCTAGCAAATAAAAAGTACCTTTTGACTTGTAAATTAAATGACAGATTGCAGAGGTTGTGTTATCTGAGAGATGTGTTTGCTCTGCCCAGATTCATTGAGAATAATGACATCCAGGCTTTGTCGAAGTATACCTTCAGAGGACTTAAATCTCTGACCCATCTGTGAGTATTTTTTGAGTATCTCTTAGTACTGAATGTATGCTTTGTAAAATGTAGCACATTGTTCAAAAAGCACAAGAATAACACATGTCCATATGTCTTGATATAAAAGTTATAACTTTGACTTTAACAGATCTCTCTCAAACAACAACCTGCAGCAGCTGCCCCGAGATCTCTTCAAACACTTGGACATCCTCACAGACCTGTAAGTGTGGCACGTTTTCTGAGAGGAAACCTCCGTTTTGGTGATTTATGCTGGAGCTTTGGAGACTCAAACAGATTTTTCCTGTCAGAGATCTGCGCGGGAACTCTTTCCGCTGTGACTGTAAGATCAAGTGGGTGGTGGACTGGATGGAGAAGACCAACACCTCTGTCCCGGCCATCTACTGCGCCAGCCCCTTCGAGTTCCAGGGCCGCAGGATCCACGACCTCACGCCGCGAGACTTCAACTGCATCAGTGCAGGTTTTAGCTCGGCTCCGGTCAAAAGCTGATCGCATGGCATCCTCCGTGCGTTACTACTGTTACACTGGTCTCTGCTCCGACAGATTTCGCCGTGTATGAAACCTTCCCTTTCCACTCTGTGTCGGTGGAGTCCTACGAGTTCAGCGGTGACCAGTTTGTGGCCTTTGCTCAGCCCGATTCGGGGTTCTGCACCCTGTACATATGGGATCATGTGGAGATGGTCTTCAGGAGGTTTCACAACATCACATGTAAGTCTCTGACCTTTAAACTACAACAACACAATCAACGAACACAACCTGATGCTTTCAGCTGCTGTGTGTCTTCTCTTGAAGCTCGCTCTGCTGTGTACTGCAAACCGGTGGTGATAAACAACACGCTTTACATGGTTGTGGCTCAACTTTTCGGTGGATCTCACATATACAAGTAAGGCTTGCAATTCAATCTTAAACAGCAACTGAGTACCAGCATGTTAAAAGAAACCTGACCTTAAAGGAACAACTCAGGAAATATACTTCCTTCCTAGATAGTGTTTGTGTTCTCCTGTTTGAAGGATTAAAAGAGGGGAAACGTTTAAGATAAGCAGGATAAGTCCGCGGCAGGAAGTGGAAGTTAAGAAGGTGCCAAATCACCTAATCACTTTGGAGACTATGACAATTGTAAATAAAAAACGATTGCATTAATATTAAAATCTTATAAACCAATCAGTTATTCACAGTGTAATACAGAAAGCATTTCACAATCTGAAAGCGAGGGCCTTTCCTATTCGATGGCAAAAATGTTGGCTCATCTTGAATTTGTCGACAGCCGCAATCCTACAAAAACATTCAACGATCGATCTGAGTCTGGGAAGCGAGGTGACCAGTTTCTGGACTTGGAGAGAAGAGTGTTTTCTGATGGATGATTCTAGCTGCTAAGTTCTGGGTCCTCTTAGTTTTGTGTTTCATTATGTGCCAAGTGTACGGTTCATGAGAGGTCAGTCAGGCACTCAGACAAAAGCCATGCAGTATTTCATTAAGTGTTCTCTGCTAAAATATGCAAGGCCTTGCCTTCAGAAACGCCATCTGGGTGGGAGCATGTAAGGACGCTTTGGCCCAAGCAAGTCGGTGGTTCTGGATCATTTTCACAAAAGACTTTGTATTTATTCAAAGCACGCTGACCTGTTTGAAGTGTTCCTGAGTCCATGCTGTGATTTCCATGATGGAATTGTGTATTGCAGTGTTGCCTGAAGGCCTGGAGATTAGTGGCATCCCATAGCTTTTGTCAGTCAGACCCCTTGTGCATAGATGCATCTCCAGATTATCTGAACTTTTTCATTGTATCTTTATAATGTATATACTATTATTATTTAATTCCAGTAATGCTCCCAATTTTCCAATTGAGTAGCATTTTTTCAGATTACTGGACCTTGGCACTTTAATTCTGACTGACTACCTCTCTAAGGAGCTTTTTGTACACCCCTTCATGTTCCTGATCCAAACCTTGTTTGCCTAATTGCTTGCAATCAATACCACAAAATGTTTTAGTATTTCATTATCTATTGATTATTCTTTATATTTGAATACCTCTTCCATTTCCATTCATTGCTTCCCTCTCAATTTGACATTCATGGAACAGTAAATATATCACTTTTGTCATTTTCTGTTTATTTTTTTCTAATCTGAGTAATGTATTGTCTTGAGAGACCTATCAATCACTGAATTGAATTATTAGTAGCACCCAAACTTATTTGGTGGTTGGATTAGTTTTCCCCAGATCCAACTGTCATTCTGTAGCAGATTTATAGGAAAATTATTCCTGTGGATTTCAGTTATATTTCAGTTATATTAGTTGTAGCTTGACAGTCACAGACCAGCTGTCTCCCTTGTGTCTTCTTCAGCTAAGGTAAGCTGGAGGTGGCTTTGTGCTTTACAATGGCTCTGATCTGATGTAATTCGATACAGTCATGTTTTCTGAAATGTGAAACCAAAGCTGTTGTTTAGAGAAGCTTGAAGAACACACTGACTTCCTTCCTGTGAACACAGGTGGGAGGAGGATCCACAGCGCTTCGTAAAGATCCAAGACATAGACACCAGTCGGGTGAGGAAACCGAACTTCGTGGAGACCTTCCAGCTGGATGGAGAGTGGTATTTCATTGTGGCCGACAGTTCCAAAGCGGGATCCACCAGCATTTATCGCTGGAACAGCAATGGCTTCTACTCCCATCAGTCCCTCCACCCCTGGCATCGAGACACCCACGTGGAGTTCCTGGATGTCGGGGGAAAGCCCCACCTCATCCTGTCCAGCGCCTCCCAGCCACCGCTGGTTTACCAGTGGAACCGGAACCAGAAGCAGTTCGTCTTCCACTTCCAGATCACCGAGCTGGAAGACGTCCAGATGGTGAAGCACTTCTGGGTGAGGAAGGTTCTTTACCTCTGCCTCACACGCTTCATCGGCGACTCCAAGATTCTCCGCTGGGAAGGCCAGCGTTTTGTGGAGATCCAGACTCTCCCTTCCCGAGGCTCCATGGCAGTGTATCCGTTCACGGTGGGCCTCCGCCAGTACCTCATTCTCGGCAGTGATTTCTCATTCTCCAGAGTATACCTGTGGGATGACCTCACTCAGCGCTTCCAGCCTTTCCAGGAGCTCAACATGAGAGCCCCAAGAGGATTCAACTTGGTTACCGTTGACAACAAGGACATTTTGCTGGCCGCCAGCTTTAAAGGCAACACCCTGGCCTACCAGCACCTGGTGGTGGATCTCAGTGCCAAATGAACATGTCTGAGCTGGAAGACGGGTCTCTTTTAATTTAGAAAATGTGCCAAATAAGACTGCAACATGTTTAAGACATGAAACTAAAATTGTGCTGTTTCCTCAGAAGTGAAAAGTGAGGCATTACATGATTGCTTAATCTATTTTTTATGCACTATTATGTAACATCTGAATGAAATGATGTGTTAATGACACCCAGTGTAATGTCACTGCTGCCCCTCAGCCAAAGGATGGCTGTTGCCATGTTGTTTCTTGGATTACAACGCCCTATATTGTAATAACTAACATGAAAATAATGTGCATGTTATTGACTTGATTATTCACTGTGACAGGGAAACTGCATTAAGAAAAGACACTATTTTGCATGCCACTGTACAACAATACTAAACTAAATACACAGAAAAATATTTCAGTATCTTCAGATTTAGATAAGAGTTACTAAGGATTCGATATTCATGCTGCAGTTGGCACAGCAGTATGAGGGAAATTAAACGTGAAATTAATGGAGAATGTGAGCCTCTCTATGTAAAAAATCACTTTGGTTATTTACTAACCTATTCATTAATTATGCAAAAGAGTTAAAAAACACAAAGTTTTTACAGATATTCTTTGATTTAGTTGTTTAGCACGAATGTACCTCCTTCCACTGATTAGGATTATTTCTGACAAATCAGACAAGTCTTTTATAACAATGTGGGCTTAGATGCAAAATTAAGAAAATATTTATTCTGTCCCATTTGTAGTCACACACTAAACATTGTTGCTGTGAACATCTTTATGGACAAATTGATGGAGTTGTCATTAAATTCTGCTCATGGTCTAAAATGATCCATCTTCTATCTTTGTCTTATTTGATACAGTTTTTTCTTCTTATATCTAGAATAAAAAAAAGACAGTTTTGGTGGGCATCAACTGTTTAATGTCAAAATGAACCCTTAGACTTTTACTTTGCATGCATAATGTACTTTGCAGGAAACTACTTACACATAAGTGAATTACAAATATGGCTTATGAATTACAAATGTCACTTAATAACCCAAATTAGGTGTACAATAACATTAAAAACAGAATTTATGCAAGAACAACTTGTATATTCGTTCAAATCATGTACATATGACACCCAATAGAAATACTGCAGGTGCGCTTGCTATATCCCTCCTATCGGCTGCGTGGGCGGACACTTGTTTCTCTAGCTGTTCATTGGAACGCTTAGCTCCGCATCTCCCCGCGCGGGTGTGATTTAGAAACGCGTTCACCCACTGTTGACATGCGAAACGTTAGCTCTTCTTGCTAGCATGACTTTACCCCGAAGTAGGGGAGTGTTTTGAAAGCTGACGGAGGGCCACAGACCAGATTGTTTTTTTTTTGTTTGTGGAACGATGTCTGAACTTTTGTGTCATTTAACGAGAAGTTGACCCGGTAGCGTGGACGTTGCTAAGCTGACGTTAGCACAAGTTCCAGAGCTCGCTGCGTTAGCCGTCTGCTAGCCGTAACAGGGTAGTCGACCAGCTCAAACTTCAGCTTCAAAAACATGTCCACCGCCGACGTGACGTTTCCACCCGAGTGGGAAGACGACGAGCGGATGAATTTTCTGTTCTCCGAGTTCAAGGAGAACCGCGACGTGAACACCACGGACTGGGACAGTAAGATGGGCTTCTGGACAGCGCAGATCGCCCGCAGCTGCAGGCAGCGGCGCTCCGTGTGCGTCAGCCTGCAGGAGCTCAGCAGAACCTTCCGGAGGAAGGACAGAACCCCGCTGGGTCTGCCCGTAGTCGTCCAGTCCATGGCCAGGTAAGACTCTCCGCGTCCCCCCCCTCCCCTCCTTCCGGTGCCCAGCTGTCAGTCAGATTAACACGCGCGTTTTGGGGGGCCAGATGTGGACAGATCCAGCGGGAGTCCGAGTTTGCTGCAAACGTGGACTGCGGCTGGTTGTCCTGGGGGGTCGGCCTGCTGCTGGTCAAGCCCCTGAAGTGGACCTTCTCCACTCTCCTGGGAAGCAGCAGGGTGCCCTTGGAGGAGTCTTTTGTGGTCATTGAACTGGTGAAGGTTGGTCAATGTGCAGAGGCTTCCCAATGTTGCTTTCACTTTGGATAGATAGAGCTGTTTGGCAGCTGTTAAATGCACATTTCTCCTATTTTTCCCTTTTTTTTAGGAGAAAGCTGCAGAGTTACTCCGGGTCTACCGTGGCAGTGAGTTTTCCAGCTGCGCCGTGGTGTCATTTCAAGAGCTGTGCACGCTGTGCTCGGACATCTGTGCGGACGAGGGCACGCTGTGCATGGCTCTGCTGCAGCTGCAGCGGGACAAGCAGGTCCTAGTGGCCCTGCACGAGGACGAGAAGGTGGGTCCTGCCCGTTCAAACTGTCCATTCTACATGTCCAGGGCCTCCCGTGCCAGGAGTATAGGTGCTCGTCTGATTTTCTTCCTCCCCCCCCTCCCTGCAGATTGTAAAGTTTATCCAGCCTGGCCAGGAGCGCGTCTCTCCGGTCAGCGATGTGGACATTGGCATCTACCAGCTGCAGCGCAGTGAGAAGCTGCTGGAGGAGCGAGCTCAGAAACTGAGCCTGGAGGCCGACAGGTTCGCCTCAAAGCGTGAAATGACCAGTAATGGTGTAAAAATGGTCATTCAAGCTTGATAAGTCAGTAACCTGGGTGGACCTTCTCTGTTATCTATCTGCAGGTTCAAAGAGGAAGCCAGGGTTCTGCTGCGGGAGGGAAAGAAATCAAAGGTTCTCACTGATGTCCACTATAAAAAATAAAAAAACATCACTGTAAATGTAAGTAAATACTCCACAGATTGAACGTCCTGTGGTGTTGGTCATTTTTCTCAAAGGCACTGAGGTGTTTAAGAAGCCGCAAGAGGGTGGAAAACAGAGCGGACAGCTTGTTTGCCAAACTGGAAACGGTGAGAGGAATCCTGGACCGGATAGCCCAGTCAGAGACCGATAAGACGGTGAGAGGAGCTGCAGCCGTGCACAGCTGTATTATCCAGCTGCCAGAGACTAAGCGTGTGTGTGTGTGTGTGTGTGTGTGTGTGTGTGTGTGTGTGCCGGACCTGTCTGCAGGTTTTGCAAGCCTACCAGGCAGGCGTGGCCGCCCTGAGGCTGTCGCTTAAGGACGTGAGTGTGGAGCGGGCGGAGAGCCTCGTGGATCAGATACAGGAGGTACGTCTCTGTTTTTAAGACCATCGATCCAGCATCTGTTTGCTGTTACTAACGAAGCTCCTTCTGGTGTCGGCTGCCTGTCACATAAACAGCTGTGTGACACGCAAGATGAGGTGAACCAGACCATTTCCAGCGGCGTGGGCAGTGCAGGTATGCTTCTCTCTGTGCACACTCTGCTTTTCTACTGTGTGGATATCACAGATATTTCAGTAATTTATTTTTTTTTGGCTTTAGATGAAAACATGGATGAGCTGGAGGACGAACTGATGGCCTTGCTGGACGAGTCAAAGCCAGATGCCGTCTCAGGTTTTCCCGCAGTCCCGGCTAACAGTCTGGGTTCCCCCGGGGAGCAGGTGCTCAGTTCTCTGCCCGCCGTCCCTCAGAGCCGTTTGGGAACGGCCGCCCAGCAGCTGGAGGCAGAACTGAGTCGTTTAACTCTGTCAGACGCAGGTCAGCGCGCTCACGTTTCTCAGTTTTCCGCCCAGTCGGGTTGTAACAGATTTCTAAATGACAAGAGGTCAACTTTTCTGTCTACAGGCATTCAGCAGAAGAGAGCCACGTCACCCGACGAGAGGCTGGAGCTGGCACAGTGAGGGTCGGCAGGCCCTGACCTGTGCGAGGAGAAGCTAACCAAGACAAGCTGGAACTCAAGTAGATATGCTGAAAGCATCCCGCTCTAAACAAGGCACTCTCCACTTTTTTAATGTAAAAGAATTAAAGTAGAAAAGCCTTTAAAACAGAGGTATGCCAAAAAGGACTTTGAATAAATCTGTCAAACAAGCGCACTTTTAAACTTAAACCTTAAGATCTGCCTCTAAAAGTCTGTGACTCTGAAGTCAAAATGATCTTTTTCCACCCGATAAAATCTGCTCTGTCACATGTAAGCAGGAATGCTTTATAAATCGAACAAGAGAGAAACAGTATGAGGGATTTATCATGCGTCGGGTTCAGTAAAAGTTAATTGCAAGTTAATTTAAGTGGCCTTTTGAATTGTAAATATGATCAGTACAGAGAATGTTATGCCAAGTTATTCAAACCATAGAAACATTTAGTCTCAGAGGGCAGAACCCGTGGGGAAAGTGAAACCTACCTTCAAATGAGTGTATGTTTGTCCAAATAAAATTTATTTTAATCACTTGTTGGCTGTTGTATCTTAATGGGATCGACAGAGACGGCGGCACACCCCAAAGATCTGGGCTCTTGAAGGAAAGTTTCTGTTCTTTCCTGACAGTTTTAGGGCACGCTTCCATCCTGGATTTGCCCTCTGGGTGGCTCCATTTGAGTAGATAATAAACCTCGTACAGGGGCTGTCATTCATGACCGCAGTTTGCAACACATGGCTGCAAAATGCAGCTCATTTAACTCCGGACATGCCACCTGACCACATCTCTAAGGTGAGTAAGTTATCCAGTCCCCTGTCCAGTGGGCTTCTCAGGGGCAGAGCATGCTGGAGGCGTGCCCACACTGAATACACTCAGAGTGTGTATGTGTGTGTGTGTTCATGTGACCAGCTGCTTTTGCCGCCTGTTTAACCTTTAGAAAAGAATGTCTGCAATCCTCTGAATGAAATGTGTCCTGAACAAACCTTGTTAAAGTAAACCCCGTCATAGGTGGGTTACTCATCCAGAACTATTTCATCTTCGTACAGAACAAAGGCCCTATTTCTACCTATGTGATTCCATTTTAAAGTACATAATCCATTTCTTGACATGTTGAATCAAGTACTGGGTGTTTGTGAAGACTCTCACTGACTCTAAAGGTTGTGTGATCCTAGGGGGACACCTAGTGGCTGAACAGTTGAATAACAGTTGAATTGCGTCTAAACAGAGGACGACTAAGATATAATGGGTCAAATCACAATTGACATAATCTCAGAACATGCTGAAGAAACAACCCAATCAAATCTAAGGAGGGTGTCCCTGTATAAAGCAATGCAGCAGAGGACACATCTTACGTATTTCATATGTATCATTAACTTTTATGGATTGATGAGGATTATTTCAGTCTGTCTGACATCAGTGTGTTATATTGCATTAGACATGAGGCTAGATTTTCTGATTCTCTCTGAAAAAAGGTTGATGTTTCATCAATCATGAATGCCTGTGGACTTGAATCTAGTCCAATGAAAACTAGTGGGAACTCTGTGGGTGTGGCCAGTGATGCCATTCAGTACAACTGTCCTGATGGATGGGTGCTTGAAGCTTTCTCTTCATTTTGACTCACATTGGGATCAAGACAAGCCAAGTAACCAAACAAAAAAAAAAAAAAAGCACAGCTTTATTGTATTCATTTGTATACTTCAACAACAAGTGAACTCATTGTGTAAAGCAGGCTATTGGAAGGTTTAATTACCATCATGGTGGTGCATTAAATACAGCGAATATCCGAGGTGTCTGATTCTATGTGCTCGATATTAAACAATAAATTAAAAAAAGGAACGCCTTACAAATTCACAGCCTTTATAAAGTACAGTTAATATCACAAAAGTCCTAGTACAGCAGTGTTTTAAAAATGCCCTTGTATCACAAATAGCATCGGTGGATATTGATTAAGCCAAAAGTTAATCCTCCCAGTGGCCCTCTCCGTCTCCCAGACACACACTCCCTGTTCCTCACTCACGCGCACTGATGCACTCTCAGTTCACCCTCAGCTCACCCTCAGCTCATACTGCATTAAAACAACTCCACCGATGCCGTTTTTCTCCTGTCGGCAAAGGAAGAGTTCATCCAGCTGCTTTTGCTTTGACAACCCGCAAATTACGCGTATACATTTTGTAGCCCCTACCTACAGAAATATGATTACACCGATATCACAAGCAGATGATAGACATTCAGGGAATAGTAGTTTAATTACTTCAGCTTTATCCTAGTCAGCTGCAGAGATCGTTGCTATATAGTTTGTTGAGTCCAGCCTACTGTTGCGGAGAAGAAGCGGACAGATATGTGGAGATAACTATTAGCCATGGCTACAGAACCGGTTGAGCAGGCACTGATCCGGATATTTGGCTGAGAATTGGTTGTACACAACGTGAGACTGAATGAAGTGGCGGTTTGAGCAAAAAGTCAAGTTGTGTATAATACAAAGTCCCATTGGGATGTAGACGGAAAACATTTGGCATGCTTTACAGTAGTCCTTATCTGTCGTAGAATAAGGGAAACAAAAAGTCCTCATGGAATACCACAAAATGATGGGTTTGCATTTGCTTATATTGCAATGTTAAATATAAAGCAGGCTACACAGTGGGGCGGGCGGCTTCCTGGTCTTGCACTGTAGTGTGTATACAGTAGATGTGCGTGTGTGTGTGTGTGTGTGTGTTGTTCTGCATGCCGGCATTGCAGTTTTAAACTGTTCTGTCGGCTCCCGAGCGCTTCCGCACCACCTTCTCCTCTTTGATCTGATCCACGGCCAGCGTCTCCAGCTCGGCCTGCGGGGGGGCCAGCAGGGGGGTGCCGTGCGGGATGCGGTGTGCCACGCCCACGTGGGCCCTGTGCTGGCGGTCCCGTGCGGGGCTGTGGCGGGGGCTGGCCGCCGGCACCGGGGAGCGGTCGGAGGCGATGGGGGGGATGATGGTGGGCCGCTCGCGCACCACCTGGGGCTCGGGGGACTCTCTGCCCGCCTGCAGGAACGGGGTGGGGTCCGGCATGGCGTCCACTGTCTCTCGCAGCACCAGCCGGCGGCCGTCGGAGCCGTGGCGGTACACCTCGGTCAGCTCCGGGTGCAGCGGCTGGGACAGGCTCTTCTTCATGCGGCGGCGGGGGGTCTCGGGCTGCCTGTCCTTGGCCGGGGGGGGCGTGGGCTTGTACGAGGCCACCGGACTGACGTTGGGACTTGCTTCCGAGGAGCTGCCGGCTAGAAGCTTCTTCTTGGTGGCATGGAGTTGCGAGGTAAGGTAGGCAATGGTGCTGGCTCTCTGCTCCAGCTCCCCGGACAACACGGCCAGCTTGTGGCTCTTCATCTTCAGCTCTTCCAGGTACTTCTTCTCCCTCTCTTTGATGGTGTTTTCTAGGACCGAAATCATGGCGTTCTTTTGCTCCAGGTCCCTGAGCAGCTCCGTGTTCTCCTCCTCCTTCTTCTTCAGCTGGGCCTCCAGCTCCTCACACCTCCTCTGCAGCTCCTTGCATCGGACCTCGCTGCTGTCTGCACACAATAAATGACAAAGAGCAGCCTTTTCACAAAGCCGTATTTCAAAACAGAGCAAAAGAAGCAGGTAACATTTGGAAAGGATGCTGCTTTGGCTCCGATATGGTTCAGCATAAACGTTTTTTCTGTTTTGAGATCCTCAAATGTTCTGCAACCATCTGTGAGATGGGCAACATTTGACAACCTTTATGAAACATTTAATTACTCTGTAAGTTGCTTTGGATAAAAGCGTCTGCCAAATGCATAAACATAAACATAAACATAATTTCCTTAACCGTTAAGATTAAAAAACGCCTATTAGAGACGTATAAATAGAAGAACAAAACCAAAAAGGATTATTGCTGTTGTTCATTTCCAGTTGTAAATGAATGGAGTGCTCTGCTCCTGAACGACCTGGTGCAGATGCTCTCTTAAGGTCAGCTCATGGTTACTGTCGGCGTGGCGCTGGAAGGATCCCAGACTCTCACCAGCTGACTGCGCTGTGCTTGCTGTGTAATCGGTGCATTAAGCGCAGACAGACTGTCAGCCGACAGAGACTCTATGATCCCGCGGGATTCATTGTCCGTGGGCAGAAAGCTCCAGTCTCACATTACATCTCTGAGCACTGTTCTGACCTCCATCACTGCCCCCCCCCCCCGGCCACACCTTGTTACAGCATATAAATTCCAGGTGGAGCTGCATAACATCTTTAAGTCATCTTAACAAATGCCAGTTACAGTGTGATTCTGTCTACTTTATTTTAACACGCCAAGCCTGTGAACCTGTAAAGTGAAGGGCTAAAAAAAGCGGGCTATCACATTCCCCTTTGTTGTCCAGCTGGGCTGGAGCAGCTGCGGTAAGCAGGTCGGACGCTGTGCATTAGCGCTGTGACAGATAATCTCATTTCCTGCACTCAAATCACTGAGACGTCCCGACGCTAACATCATCCTGCCTCTGACTGGAAGCCTGGACGGTGCCCCCCTGTCAGAACGTCAGCAGCCTGCTGTGATCCCGGGGGACGTGGAACAGGCTTCCTGTGTAGAGGAGGCCGCCGGCTCATAGGTGTGACTTTCACAGGAGCCTCTGTGACCGTGCTGCTGATGTGGTTCTAAGTCATGGCCACGGTTTGTGGGGGAAGGGCGGCTGACCGTGAGCAGCAGGGGTAGTAATGAACAGCAGGGCGTCCGGCAGCGCCATGCTGACTGCACGGGATTTTGCCACCAGGGATCAGAGAGAGCACTCTGCTCTTCGAGATATCCACTGACAGTTTTCAGACCTCTGTGAGACAGCAAAACGATTAACCGCAGCAAGACTTAAACTTACAGAGGCTGAATGCAGGCCGAAAAAGCGAGGTGAGGCTGTGCTGCAATAGGGTGCGATCGTGCTTACCTGAGGGATCTGAGCTTCTCACAGTGAGCTCGTATGTCAGGTCTGTGAAAAAAAGAGAAGAGGGTGACTCGCATGTTACATGAGGTTGGAACAGGGCAGCCATCCAACAACATGCTCCTCACACAGACTGACACAAAGCATGCTTCCCACTGACCAGATGATTCATTTAATGAGATTAGTGAGAGGAAAAAGAAAATCAAGGTTAAATTGTGCAGTGCCAGCTTTTTCTGAAAGGGTTAGTAGCAGCACCGTTAAGCTACGTCCAGCTGACATCAGCTTCCTTAATAATTTTGTTTCTCCTTGTTCTAAGAATCTTGTTTTGAGTTGTTCCAATCACGTGATCAGCATCAGGACTCTGAGCAGCTGCTTTTAAGAGTTGGGTCTGTCGCAAATCCTTAAGTAATCCTACTACGAGCGTCACAAAGAGAGCAGCTTTGGCTACCTGTGCGGAGGCTCACCTGTGCACTGCTGCTGCAATCTGCGGATCTCTGCATGCAGCCCCTTCAGCGTGCTGGCATGGTCCTGCTGGAGGAAGAGCAGGTTTTTCTGTGCACTCTGCAGCTGATTCTCCAGTGTAACGTTTGCCGATGCCATGGCGATTTATGTCGGGAGCCACAGCGGCCTCGCAACCTTCAAATAGAAAAATGGAGAAGAGACATAAGAGGGAGACTATAAACAAGATTCTACCCTCCTGCCAGACAACACATTCATTCTCACCCTTCAGCCTACAGACACAAGGGTTTGGGAAAAGTTCCAACTTTTCTCTCTCAGCAAACTGGCTTAAGCAATCATCAGATGGTGACTGCACTAATCACTTCTGAATAACACAAACACATTCTGTCATTAATGGATCCAATCTGGTGCTGAAAAACAAGTAAATTAGACCAATACCCGAAAAACTATGACAAACATGCTCCAATAAGACTGCAAACTTAGATGGGCACTGCATTAAAAGCTCTGACGGGATAGGAGAATTACCCTGACCATCTCAGCCTGGGCCCTGGGGTTCACAGGGCTGTTAGTTTTACACACAGATGTCATTTTAAATGTGCTACACAATAATATCATTCATAGTCCAACATATGGAAAGCCAATAAACAGCGATCAATGCAGAAGACTGAAACATCAGGGGGAGACTGGGTGTGGCAAGCTAGTCTGAACAGAGCCTCCTCTTACCCAGCCCTGCCCCACCTTCCTCCTTCCTCTGCCTTCACTGGATGCCCTTGTCTCTTTAGCTAAGCCATAAAGAAAACCAATCACTCAATCTAACATCTCCACCCACTGCCAGGCAGCAGTACCTGGGTTTGAAAGCACATTGATCTGTACAGAAAAACTCCACAGTAGAGAGAAAGCATCTCTCTGCATACACAAGTGTGCTTTAATAAAACATCTCAGAGCTTCTCACTCTTACCAAGTCAGTACAATGAATAATTCATCTGACACCTGACTGGACACGCTCCCTAGTTTCACCAGTTTTATTTGTGTTTACTCACAAAGGAAAAAGCAGAGCACACCATCACCCAAACACAACCGGGCAATAACTAATACAACCAATGTGCCGTAAAGGCTGAGGGGATAATCTATTATTGATGAGTAATGTGGAGTCCTTCCGGTAAACCCTGTGCTGCAAGCATATCTCTCATCCCAGCTCTTTCCTGAAATAGCTCAGAAAGCTTTCCACTAGCGAAGACATGACCTCAGCCACTTCCAGTACATGTGATGGTCCATACCATACAGCCTGCAGGTTCAACTAATGCAGAGATACTAAGGCATCGGTGCCTTAAAGATGAGCAATACCATTTATAGTAGGGTGTTCTGGCATTATTTCCTCTCAGAAAACAACAACCACTATCCCCACACAGAGGATATAAATAATCAATGAATTGCAGCAGCATGAAACATTAGCGAGCAGCTTCAGTCCTGAACCATAACATGAGCCTGGCTGTCACTTCCTGTAGACGAGCTCCACCTTTGCACACTCATTTTCACGCTATACACCCTTATGAATTTCAGCCTATATTTACTATGACAAACACAGCTCATCCCCTGCTTTTTTATTTGTATTTTTAGAAAGCTTCACCGTTAACATCCACCACATCCACACACAAAAAAAAGTTTAAAAAAAGCAACAGCCAACGGTTGAATGTCAAAGCCATTATGGAGGGAGGCTACGGTTGTCAGCTATCAAACACCCCTTGTTGGGTGTCGTTTGATACTTTCCGGGAGACTTTTAATTTCAGCACCTGCATTGCGGACAGCACCCGCTGCTGGACCTGACCTCAGCTGCCACAGCATCACGCCAGCGTTTGGGGAAGAGCCCCCCTGGACCTGACCCGGCTCATCATGATCAAAAAGGGCCTTCGAAACGTCTCTACGACACGGGATGCCATCACCGCATCCTTTGGGGTCCGGGGAGGAGCTGTCCACATTCAGGAGCCGCAAAGGAGCACGTTTCGGGACGTGCGTGCCACGCCAAATTCCCATCACAATAACCTTACATTAAGGTTCACAATAGCCAAAAGGAAATGTAACTAAAAACCCAAATATAGGAGGGGTTTCTGATAATATAAGGGTTGTTATTAGTTTTCAACTGGCTTAACGCTGCTTCGATAGCAGCTGTGCAGCACTGCGCATAGATTTTACGACTCCTATTCTCGCGTTATTCTTCCGGTGAAATATGTACAACAATTAAGTATAATTGTAGTCAACCTGCTCAATAAAATGCGAAAGACCGACTGGCGGACAACCGTTTACATATGAATGCGCATATATTTAATGTCAGTGCATCTAATGGGAGGTAAAGCATGCAGACTACGACAATTTATTGATGTAGCCTAGCTTGACAGCTAAAGATGCAGCAACAGGATCTTAATGTAATCCAGACATGAGTTTACCTCGCAGGAAAAATGTACACGTCCGTCGAATAGCGCCTTAAATGTTGTTAAATTGTCGCTAGCCTGACTAGCCGCACCGGCTAAACGGATTCCACCTTGCGGGGCATGTCGGTGATGCTGTCAGTGGCTCGCCTCGGTCGGGAGAGAGCGGAGGGTAGCTGTGTCAGTTCACTACCATCTCCCTGAGCTACTAGACAAAATAAAGCGATGCATCATGGGAAACTAGGAGAAACCATGGACCATTTGACTTTAAGACGTTTAACCTTTTTATCTGTCCATTGATGTCGTCAATTAAACTTACTTCCTTAATTCTATGGGAACAACGTTGGATTAAAAAACAACGTTTACTCACCTAAAGTGACGTGAAATCAGCAAGGAGAAGCCCTCTGGGAATGATAATGTTTTGCAGCAAGGAGCGTCATCACCATGGTAACCGAACCTGTCCTATGCCTGTGCAATAATGATGCGTTTGTGTGCATTGGGATAGTGTAGGAAATTTGTAACGCGGAGATAGTTTTTTTCAGGGGCATATAACACGTTAACAGGGGTCAGGTTTGATAAGGAGTCAATCTACCTAGGGTACCTTCACGAATAAACACAAACAAATTGTTTTGATAATGTACAGCTAGTGAACAGTAGAGGGGAGTGTTGACCTTTACTCAGTGTAGAGACATGCTATGACTATAGTCTCTTGAACACATGCCAGTTCGTCCAATCCTTAAAAGTTTATTTTCTTTATAACACACTGACCGAGTTAAACTTGATTTATATTGGTTTATTAGTGGAATGGATATGGATTTAGTTTATTTGTACATTTCTGACAGCTTTTGTGATTCTTGCAAACTGTGAGAATAGTTAGATATTTTTCTGCTATTTTTTTTAGCTGCATGTGTCCTGGGTTGTAAAAGCAAAAACAACGGATACGGTGTAAAATCTGAACAGAGACCCAATCCAATGTGATGCCTGGAAGAGATTTAAAAAAACAAATGAAAAACATTTATAGTTTGTCTTGGAATATCTATTATACTATTAAGGAATCTAATTTGCTGTGTCAGGAAAAAACCGACAGGTTGAGCTGTTTGAGTAAGAAAGGGACATTAAACAATTCAACAATCACATGAAAGATATGACAGTTCAAAACAAATTAGGAGGAGGTTTCTCTTTTATTTAAAAAAGTGGGATTTGAACGTTTATAGCAAATCACACAGAGATATTCAAAGAAATCTCTTGAAGCCAAGGAACAAATCTGAAATGTACACCTTAATAACTCTGAGTGATATCTGAGCCGCCTACTTCCCAGAGTTGTAACACACAAAAAACATTTATAATGAAATTAAACATTTTGTTCCAAAGGGCACACAAAGTGGATGCAACACAGAAGTAAAGGAACCAACCTTTTTTAAATGTGTTACTGTATTGGCATTAAATTGAAATAAAGCACACATTTGGTATCATGTTTTAACATGTTGTCTTTATGTGATTAAATTCATTTCCAGTTGTTTTTCTATAATGTACTAACACGACCTCTGACTTTGAATTGGAGCTACTGATCATTTTCATGAAGTTGCTGTGATGCAGGAGCAACATTTGCAGTAGGGTAACCTTTAATTGCACACATATGGTGGCTGACAGGTAAGAAGTAATTTTGTTTGCAACTGTAACATGAGCTCCACTAAAGTCTATGAAAGGTTTTCAACTGATTTCTCTTTTCTATATTTGTAGTATTTGTCTGTTCATGCAAGTAAACTAATTTGAGATTCTTTTTTTTATTTTATAAAAACTGATTTTAGCTAATTATTGGCAGTTATTGGCAATACTCAGTCAAATGGGCTGTGGTTGCTGAGTAAACCAGAGGGGGTTAAATATATAACTTAATAGCATCTAAATCAGCAATTTGTCAACATTTTCTTGTGATGCTGCTTCCTCAGGAAAATAAACACACCTGCATATCTGTTGTATTTCCGAAATAATATTTATTTTGTTTTGTCTTCACAGCACGGAGGCTGATTTCTAACTGACACGGGTACAACTTTTCAGTACCTAGTTTATTGTAGTAGTAGTTAAATTATTAAAGTGTAATCAATAAGTGGGACACTGAATGCTTCCAATAAAGCTTTGCAGATGAATGGTTAAACTCGTCTAATCTTCAAGTCCTATCAGTAATTTTGGCTCTGACGTTTCCTGTCTGGTCTATGCAAACTTGGAAAAACAGAGGCCCTTTCATTACTGCCACAAAATATCATTATAAATCATTTCAGGCATGAGAAATTCCCCGTGAAACGGCTACTGTGTAAAACGATACAAACTGAAAACAAAATCATCTTTTTTTTAATTTCTGACTCAAGAATGAGTCTCACATGAACAAAAAGAAAATATCTTGTGGGGGTAAATGGAATAATTGTCCACGTCTTGTTTTTCTGAAGCAGCCTTTTAATCTCTCCCTGGCTTTGGCCTGTTTGTGATAGGGATTAAATTCTTCTCATTTCTTTGACTTTTAGTGACTCTGGCACACTTCCCAGCCGCTGACCGGTATAGGAGCAGGTAAGTTATCCTTGCACCAGCAGAAGTGAGCTGAAAAATAATTCCCCAACAGAGACCGCAGCCTTCCGTGTGATTTGTTTTACGCACACACAGCTAGCTACTTCTATATATCATAACAGGTAGTAAAATAGTTCACTGAGGGGAACCGGCCAAATAAAAGAAGCAGGGGTGACTCTGGACTCCTCCTGTGACTCCAACGTCTTTCGGGCATTGTTTTTTTGGCCTTTACCTACAGAGGGTCCAAAGCTGGTTAGAATCAATAGAGAAATGCCCCTCACACACACACACACACACACACACACACACAGACTGACCAAAGCTGCTCCACGAGCTTAGGTGTCTGCATTGGGATTTCCTTTAACAACCTGGCAGCCCTCATAAAAAATATCTGCAATCTACTCCTGAGGCTTTCTTTAGATTGAAAGTCACTTTTTATGAAGAAACCAGTGAAATACATTCTTTCAAACACAGGCATGCACTCAGAAATAAGAGATGCCATACAGATGGTGGCAATGGTCCTGGACACGGGCCCAAAACGTCATGCTGATGGAAAAGCAATAAGAACGAACTATTGAGCCTTTTATTTTGCAGCTTCCTGGCAGACATTGCTGAGATTAAAAAAAAGAGTTCATACCATTCTTGAATGGGTCTCATTGGTATACTTGTTGGATTGCAAACAGATAGTGCAGGTCCATGTCATGGAGTTACAAATGAATTGTAGGCATATGGCAGCCTGTCTCAAATGGCACCGTTTTACTGCTCCTGCTCTGACAAGCTGCCAGCAAAAACACTTCTCAGGTTGTAATAGTTTTACAGTTATTATATTGAGGTTGGCAAGGCAAATACTTCTACAATTCTTGAAAACCTAATTTAATTTTCCAAGAACCCATTTCAAATGATTTGTCCGCTCAAAGAAACTCAGTCATCAGGATCATGCAACGGGTTGCTCAGGGCCTTCTGCTACCTGGCAAAATGATTTGATATTTCAAGGTAGATGAATATATGAATTCTGGTTGTTACTGCATTTGTGGATTTTGTGTGATGTGTAGAGCACAGTGACTTTGTTGTACAGGTCATTTTTTTCCCCTGGCTTAGCTTTTCAAGGATTGTGTGCTTTAATCTATTTCTAATTAAATCTATTCCTCACTCTACCACAGATACAACACAAGACTGTTCCACTCTCAGGCAGGGAAAGGGAAAGAGCTGTTATCATAAAATTCTACTCCTTTTTTTTGTCTCCAAACAAAACTTCATAAGACGACTGACCTCTATCCAAAATACATCAATAACTTAAATTCCATTCAAAATAGCCTGACCTTGGGTTCTCTAGTGACTATAAAGAAAGGCTTTATTTTTCAGATTAGTCCAGGATGGCTACATTTCTTTAGATTAATACAGCAGAGCACCATCACCTCAGAGGTCTTTTTTTAATGGCTTCCATTAATTTGAAATGCCATTCATTAATACTTTTACGAGGAAACTGTTATTTCTTATATCCTCATATAATTCTTGTTTCTGAGCATTAGGCATTTAAGTTCCAGAGTAGATATCAGATCATTGCATTCAAACTGTTTAAGATCAAATTTCTTGATGAACCCAAATTTAGTTCCCGTGCTCCAATTCTAATTTTAACTCTTCTCAAAACAAACACATCTTCAAATATCACTGAGTCTGGAGTTTTTAAGTTAATTTCCCACTCTCTTTGGACATTTTCACCAAAACTTCTAATGTCGTTGGCCTGTTTACACTCATTGCACCTGAAAAACAATGGTGGCTAAGCAGCACTTTAACTTTATCTTACCATCATCATCAGGGGATGATATCTTTGATATTTTTGGCTGTATATTCTTTGCTCTTTCAAGAAAACAAGATTTAATGCCTTTGCACTGGATTATATTTCAGCCAGATGTTCAGTCTATTGCAGACATTTGAATCATCACTCTGTTCAATCGTTAATGGACCCTGAAAATGTTCTGTTTTGATTTGCTCTGTGCTTGTGTGGCATGGAAAGTATTCAGCCTTTCAAACAGTTACAGAAAATGTACAGTAAAGTGCTGGTAGCAGCTGGACCTAATGCAAGGCCACTGGAAAATAAAGGGTAGAAAACATGTGAAATGAGCACTTTAAATGAAAGGTTATTTCAACAGAAATCAACCTCTCTGACACAGTTTTGTACCAACCAATTAAAGCGTGAAAAATTTACAAGCTGACAAAACAGAGTTGAATCCAGAGAGGAAATTATAGCCAACTTGTTACATACTTGGATCATGATGGACAGTCATTCTATGGAGCAATTACAGAGCCCCTGCCAAAATGGTTCAGTCTTCATGCTGCTAATGAGGCTGGACAGCAGGAAATCATGTTTTCTATACATTTTAAAAAAACGTTTTACAGTCAAGGGGAGGGCTTTTCACGTCTTTCCTTTAAAAAATATGACACTTGGATTACTGGAGATTAATGAAGCACTGCCATTAAACTTTGAAGTGGTTGTAACTCAAAGTGCCAACATCAACTGGAAAAAATGTGCCCTGCTAAAGAAGAAATGACATGTTCTCAAAGACAACACAATGAAAATGAAAGCAACTTTGCTTTGGTTTGTTTTGAATTAAATTTTCCCCAAGTTCATCAAAGCACTAACCA